GCAATCCAAGATTAGAGAAGAATCTAAGAGTCAGGGATCTGACGGATAAATGTGGAAACGGGAGACTGGAGACAATAGGGAACTTTCTTCCTCAGGTTCTTCTAAACATCAAAGACATGATACCTCCCTTGAAAAATGGAGAAGAAGATGGGGTGAAATGGAAGCCGCAAGGAGATGGGATCTTCTCAACTACAAGTGCATATAAACTTGTAAAAGGAGAGAACGAAGGAACAGAAGGTAATCGCTAGAAGGTTGTTTGGAAGCTCAAAGTTCTTGAGAGAGTTAAAGTATTCATGTACAAGAACAACAACGTGTACTATATGCCAAGCTTACGGGTTCCCATTCAGTGCTCATCAGGTGATGAGCACCCAATGCTCATCACCTGATGAGCAATCTGGACCGTCCAGATCTAATATGGACGGTTCAGATTTAATATTATTAAATAATTATTTTAAAATAGAAAAAGTTATATTTTTAAAGAATGATAGTTAAGATATTATCTTTATTTTTTATCCTATACCTATTAAAATAATTATTTTTAAAAAATAAAAGTAAAAATAAAAATAAATCTGGACCGTCCAGATCAGATCTGATGAGTATTGGGTGCTCATCAAAACTGATGAGCACCCAATGCAAATCCCAAGCTTACGATGAGGATACATTACATGCATTAAAAGATTATCCATTCACTGCTTTGACTTAGAGACAACTTGTGCCAGACCATTTAAGGAAGAATTTCTTTAGATGGGATAGAAAGGATTGGTTGTATAGGAAAATTACAAGTGGAAACAAGAGAAGAGAGGATCAGAGTTGGCTAGAATTATTTGCATGCAATTATTGGCATTTGTGGAAATGGAGGAACTTACGGGTTCATAACAAAGAGTTCCAAACGCCGAGAGAGACAGGGCGTGTCATTAGAAAATATTTACGAGCCTGTCATGAGAAATGGAACGGAGGAGTAATAGAGAGGAAGCAGAACGAGCCACTAGTGGCAAAATGGGCTCCACAAGATAATAGACAGATGGAATGGTCACGAAGAATGGATAAGTAGGGTGTGGGGGAGTTATCAGAGGAGACTGTGGGGAAGGATTAGCCAGATTCTGAAAAAAATTACATAGATGTGATGCAAAAATGATAGAAGTTTGGGGGATATATGAAGGCCTGAAACTGCGCAAAGGACTGGGATTTCATAAAATTGTAGCTGAGTGCGATGCTGCCACTGTCATATACGAACTTAGGATAGGAACAAGAATTTTATGTTGCTATACCTTGTCCCGGAAAATTGAAGAACTGTAGACGGAAGACTGGACCATTAGCTGGTGGCATATCTATAGGGAAGGGAATCAGTGTGCTGACATGTTAGCGAAGATGAGTCTGAACCAGAATGAAAAGAGGAAAGTCTGGAATAATCCTCCCATGGAATTGAATGGGTCACTGCGAGAAGGCTTAGAAGGAATTGGCCTTAAAAGAATAAGCTACTCCTCCGATCCTTAACATAGGACCCAATTCTTGAATTGGTTTTGATCCTAAATATAAGATCCATTTATCATATTTATCAATTTTCTCTAAATTATCCCTATAGGTACTCTCTCAACCATAATCAAGTAAAAGAAAGAGATGAGGTATTAAGAAAGATGATTGTGGTGTTTTAGAAAAAATGTGTTATATTTCTTATAATTAACTAACTTACCTAACTTTCTTAATCTAATTAAATTAGTTAAATGGGTCTTATATTAAGGACCGGAGGAGTAATTGTTATTTAGGCCTTGGCCTCTTTTTTTCACAAAAAAGAAAAAGCTATGTCAAACGGGTTCGTAGAAAGCCTAGAGATAGCACAGCACATTCTTTCTCATTTCTATATCCCTCTCTTTGTTGTAATTACCTGCGCACAATATCTCTACTAAGATCGCCATTTAAAAAAAAAAAAAGGGAGAAAAAAGGAGGCCATGATAGGTTTGCCTGAAATTGTGATTGAATCTTTTAAAAGTAATTTTTTTAATTATAATTTATAAAATACAAGATAAATATATAATAAAAGTCTTATATAAAAGTACTCATCTCATACACACAAAAAAAGTACTTATAAACACTTGGCCATGGTTGAAACAATCTTAAAAGCATGTTTGCAATCTCTAAACATGTGAAATATAATTATACGATTTTATGGTTTTCTATTAATTAAAAACCACATAATTTAAGCAAAGATTAGAATTATGCATGCTTCCTGTCTGACCAATTTTTCACAAGAGGAACACTTATTCTCTCTGGGTTACAAATTGAATCATCATCTTCAAACAGTTTGATTAAGAGGATGTTTAGATGAAAACTATACTATAATTTTAAAAATAATTTTATAGTATACAAAATAAGAAAGTGATATGGGTTTTATTTCGATTTATGTAAAAATATTTATTTTAGAATGGTTTTTGGCCCAAACCAAGCACCCCTCGAATTATACAATTGTCATATCGTAACAACTAATAAAGCCATTCTTAACCCAAAAAAAAAAAAATAAAGCCATAAGGGCCTGTTTGGTTTGAGGGGAGGGGAGGGGAGAGAGGGGTAGGAAAGGGGAGGGGAGGTTTCATCTTCACCTTGTTTGGTTTGATTAAAAAGGAGGGGAGGGGAGGGTATTTAATGATCTCTTGTTTGGTTCAAGGAGGGGAGGGGAGGGATAGTAATAATCAATTTATCATTTTACCCTTACATATTAGTTTATGTTTTTTATTGATATATTATATAAATTAATTTACATCTTAATTTAAATCATATAATTTAATAAAAATTCAGTCTTATCATGTTAATATGTGTATTAAAAAATTGGTACAGTAATTTTTTATTCTAATTAATATAATAATATATTTAAAATAATCAAATTAACAAATTTTATATGCTCTAAGAAAAATGAAATTTTATTTTCTTTAGGCTATCTTTTTTTCCAGCTTTAAAATATATTTAGTAAATAATATATTTATAAAAAATTAATTTTATAATATTATAATTTTTTATTTAAATACTTTTTTATTTTTAAATAATTTTTATAATATATTTTTAATTATAATAATGTATTTATTTTTTATTTTTTTACTTAGGATAATATATTTTTTATTTGAAATAAATATTATAATAATATATTTTATGGGTAGAAGTGGAATATTAAAAAAACTACAAAGGTATAATGGTCCAAAATTTTGGCTCCCCTCCAAAAACCCCCAATTTGGAGGGGAGCCAAAATGGAAGAGGGGAGGGGAGGGGAGGGGACATTTTGACTCCCCTCCCCTCCAAAATTTTAAACCAAACGAGGGGAGGGGTTCATTTTCCCTCCCCTCCCCTCTCCTTCCCTCCCCTCCAACCAAACACACTCTAAGTGAAAAATTTGTGCTCAAGGTGAAAATACGAAGAATAAATAAAATTCAATTTTATTTTTCACTAGAAACAACGGTGGAGCGAGTTTTGGGGGAGAAACCGGGTTGTTAAAAGGTCAACATCAAAGCCGCATGCACATCGACGGCTCTTTCTTCTCCGAACTCGAGTTGGATGACGTCATCCCACGTGGCTTGCTCCTCTTTGTCGCCTGCCTTGCCTCCTCGCACATCCTCGACGGTTGGTGCCATTTTAGTCTTATTTTAGTTTAGTTTGGGCCTGAAAGCTGGCTAGTGGGCCCACTTGCTGGATAAGAACGAGTCTTTTTGGGCCTATGTTTGAGCCGTTCATTGGTCAGGAGAAAAGAAGCCAGACGCTTCTGTGCCAGCTTATTAAGATTTCATTTCACCTTTCCTGACGAAATGCTTGTTACCGACAAGATCCATACGTGTATAAAAAAAGTAATCAGTGTCTAGCAGAAAATATTAATTTCTTATAATATGATAAATTTTAATAAGTGTCACATTCACTACCCATAATATTTTGAATAGAATTATTTCTATTAAGAAGATATGCATTAATTTCTCTAAAATAATTATTTATTTTATTTTTTTAAGGGGATCCACTGCCGCAAATTATGACGTAGGCTCTCCTACTTGAGGAGGCCTTAAGCGGGCACCCCTCCTAAGTGCAATCGAGGTCACCAGCTTAGGCCTTGGGCCTTGTCTGCGTTGGAAACTACTTTGCTCATAGAAAATTCTGATTAACAAATAGAGAGTTTAAGAAAAATTATGACTTTGGCAGGTAAAATAAAGTGAGATTTTAAGATTAAATTAAAATCCTCTGCTAGCTCTCATAATTAAAGGGTTGTATAAGAGTTAAGAAATATATTACTACTATATATAAATGAAACGGATTTTAAATGTTCATCAGTGTATGTCCCACTCTCATCTTTTTTTTTCCCCCTTCAAAAATTATATTATTGTCAACTACTACCTCTAATATTTAATATAAGAATTAGATAATTAATTTAAAGAGATTAAAAAATTAGTTAAATTAGTTATTTGCAATAAATATGTGCTAACTTTTCTAAAGTACCCTCATTTAATCATATATATTAAAATTATACTTGGGTGGAAATACCTTACAATTAATAAGAATATTTTTGAGAACATATTATAAATTTGAGAGATAAAATAGATTGACATTTTATATTTAGGACCCTCAACTAGTTCTTATATTGGATCAATATCTATTGACAACGTCAATATTAAAAAAGACAAGACTTACGTTAAGTTTTTTATATCTATTGTGTCAATTCTTTAATTACATATGATTACATATTTTATTTTTGAAATATTAATATTTAATAGTATTTAATTATAAATTTATTAGAAAACTTGATATAAAAGATTTGATCTAAATTTTTTTCTTGTTAAAAAAATTTGTCTTCTAATATTAAAGTGAATAAAATTATTTAATCCAGTGCACTAACTCATGCACACGCAAAAAAAGGGGCTATCCTCATAATTCCAGAGAGAGTGAGATTAGCCCCCTTACAAAGAAATTACGCGGCATCATGTGCTGAAGCCTTGGGATCAGTTCCCTTAGCTTTACGTGAAAATGCGGTAATAATAAGACTACAAAATGCTGTATCCTATAGAACTCAGCTAGGAGAAAAGACACGTAGAAAGCCTTCATCGGTAGAGCAGAAAGAACGGAAAGAAAAACGAGCAAAAAGAAGGAGAAGAAGGAGAAGAAGGAGAAGAGGAAGAAGAAATGTCGTCTGCTTCTCTCTTATCAACTGTGAAAACTACTCCTTCACTCTTCTCCATCAGCATCAAGAGCTCATACCTCCGTCCTCGAGCTCTGGCTATACCTCCACGTTCTGGTTCTCTTGTTTCTGGGGCATCGCTTAGCTACAGCTACAATCCGTTAAGGTATCGAACTTTCTAAATAAGTACGAATTTCTAATGCATGAATAAGAGAGTATCTGAGCCGTTTGATTTATAATCTGGTTTTGATGAGGCTGTAGGTCTTTGATTGAGCACAATGGAAGGATAGTGAAGACAAGGAGAACCAGAGGATCCCGTGCCGTCTGCTATGCTGCTCCTCTCACTGCTCGCAATCTCCAGTGGATCTCGACTGTTTCTTCTGTGTCAGTTACTTCTCCTCTCTTAAATCAATATATATTTGCTTATATGCATATGTATGTAAATCTGGAAGAACTGAGTTAACTCCAGATTTGCAGTGGAATTTTCTGAATTTAGTGTAGTTATCGTCACAAATAATGTATTTTTAATATAATTTGGTTCTCAATCATAACTCACAAGTGATTGTTGGAGATGGAGAGTAAAAACCTTAAAGCAAGTGTGGATGAGCTCAGTGGATAACTCATAATGCAATCCAAGATGACGAAAAGGCGCCCTTTGGATGAAACTCAGGAATAATAGTAGTGCATATTACCTATGAATCTGAAATGTTATTTTCGAAGATGGAAACAGCAAATCAGCAGGCTTTCATTCGTTTTCTTTTCAAATACCCGTCACAGAAATAAGAGTTATTCTGTTCGCGTGTTTTTAACATCGGATTTTTTAGACAGAATTTGGTTTGGGAACGAAGGGGACTGATTTAGCTGTTAGGTCAGTTAGGTGCCATGGGTCAAATACAGATCAAGCTACTAATTGTAATTTGTCTCCGTTTACTATTGTGACCAAATGCTGTATCCCTTGTACTTTGAAGAGTCACTCTCTTCCCGAGAGAACTCGTTTTGATAATAGTTGTGTCCTCTATACCATTCAAGATGGAGTGATCAATCTGAAAATTTCACCTATATTTATCTCTAATGAAGCTTTACTCTACTTTATATGACAATTTTTTCGGTGATCTGATAATTTTTACTTACAACTAATGTTAAACAGAAATGTCACTTTCAGTCTTTTGCCTTGCAGTTACTGTTTTATCTATCGCTTTCGTTAACAATAAAAAATAAAATATGGCTGATGAGTATTTAGAAATTTTCAGGGTTTTAATACTGGCTAAAGGCACTGGCGTGCCGAAGTCATTCATTGTTCCATTATTTGCCTTGCAAGCTCCTGCAAGTATCGTTGCTTGGATGCAGTACGTTTTCCACCCCACCTGAGCATTTTTGTCTTCCTGCTCAACATGAAATACTCTTTCACCAACGGACTACATCAATTCCTTATTTTTTTCCTCAAATCAACTTACACACATTGGGTTTGCAGGGGTAGATATGGTCTATGGTCTGCATTCCTAGCACTCCTGGTTCGTCTCTTCTTTCATATACCTGGTAGGTTCTGTTGTCTGCTGCTCATATTTATGAGATAGTAGAATGAAATTTAGCAAATCTGGAGAGAGTAACATTAGATTTTAATTTATAGATTCCCCAAACACCACAGCTTCCATTGGAATTGGTGGAAATCAGTTCATTATTTTGTCCCTTATTACTCTCCTGCAAATAAACTGAAGGATGATACATAAAAATTCTTCTGGTTATCTTTTAAATTTTCAGGTGAACTTGAGTTGCCATTTATAGCATTGCTCTTGGTGATCGTCGCTCCATATGAAGTTATGAAATTAAGGTAAGTAAATTCATCATTTTGACTTAAGTTAAGCATCATATGGGAGCCATTAAGTCGTTCACATTCTTTATTTTTCCTACGTTGTCAGGGGAACAACAGAAGGGGCTATCATTTCATTGTTGATTGCGGGTTATTTGGCTTTCCAGCATTTCTCAAGAGCAAGCTTGCAGAAAGCATTTGACCAAGGTTCAATTGTGGCCACCTTAGCTGTCATCTGTATCACTGTTTCTTCCTTGTTGCTTCTGATCTGAAATGATTGTAAAATAATAAATTCTGGTGAATTGTAATAGAAATATATCTGAGTGGCATAGCTGTAGAAAAAAGTGAATAAATGCCCAATGTTGTTCTTTATAATGTAATAGTTTTTACTAGTATTGGACTCTATAAATGACTACAAAGCCACATGTATTTTCATTACTCTTCAATATTTAATGTTAATCTGACTTGTTTAACGGCTGTTTGTAACTTGGCACATCTCCCTGCCCTCAAAACTTTAGGATTGTTAAACTCACTTGTACTGCTCTAGTGCTTTTTATTAGAAGTCTAGTGCACCTAGTTCAGGTGCTCTCTGAACTCCAGCTTTCTCATTTGTTAAGATTGTAATCCTTCTGAGTGGATGTTATCCTGGGTTCGCAGAACAATGCTCTGTTGTTTTTTGAATGTGTTAATATTTCATGGGCATATTACTTGATCGTGGAAATAATCTTGAAAAATATGATGAGATGAATCAGTATTGCATTTTGACTTTAAGGTAAGCATCCGCTTCCACAAATAAATACTCAAAGAGGGCGAATATATAGAATCATTACCTTTTACTCAAGAGTTGACATCTATTATCTCTTATATTTAAATTTTTGGTTTCTCCATGCAAATTTTCTCACTTTTAGCAGGTGAAAATTATCCTCATCGAACCATGTTTATATGATGCCCAATGACGTAGTTACATGACATTTTCATATATTACTGTCGTGGATGAGTTAGATTCCTTGGAGCTAGTCTTCTGAACATCCTTGTCTACAATTATGGTCTTGTTTTAGACTGATTGCTGAATAATTCCTTTAAAATGGCTCTTGGCTCTATAAATAATTATATTATAGCCAATATAAGCTTCAGAGTTTCTCTATGGAAGAAATATTCCAAGAGAAAATAGACTGTCTAGCAATTTATTATTATGCTAATACTATAGAAAATCTGTTTACAACACCTATAATCTTTTGTTCTACTACTTTTTTGGGCTTTATGATCAACTAATGGACATATATAGCTCAAAGGTAGTACTAACTTAAACAGCAAGACTTCAAATAACAAATGGAATTATTGACCTTCTGCCTCCTCGAAGTCTCAAGAGAATGCCGGCATGCTACGTGAATTCCAGCTCATTTCGAAACGGTGACTGCACCATGTATATGGTCTAGATAATATTCTCTGTGAGGACCGAAGCCCAGAGGCTGCACATGGTGAACATCAGCAGCAAGGAATAAGAGGGAGCTGAGGCTAAGCTGGGGCTTTGTGTTGGTTCTGAACCAAGTATTGTTGATCCACCAGGCATTGACACACTTGGAGGAGTTGTACTCATTGGACTGGATTGGTTAAGAGGGCTTTGATTTGTCAGCGGGCTTTGATTTGTTGGTGGACTCATGCTGCATGCACAGTACATGTTAGGATGTGGGATTCAGTGATCGATCTTCATTTTTTAGCATTATAATACGAATAAGATAATGCGGCTAAGAATTCTCACCCTTGTGATTTTGTTGATGAATAGTGGCAGTTCCCAGTACCTGCAATAATATAAAAAATGTTTCTTTGTAGTTTAAGTTAGTGAAGCAAAATAACTGTCATGATCTTGAATATTTTATGCTTACTATATGATCCAGTACTAAATGAATGAAATTAGTGAAGCCCATAATCAATGCAGTGAAAAATAATGACATAGATGTGTATCAATCTGGTGAAGGGTGAGCAAGCTAAGGTCACTAAGGAATGCGTGAGAACATCCATCAGTTACTGAAGGGGGCATTTCGTGGAGGCAGAGGCCAGACCTTCGTTAGCTACTGAAAAGAGATTTATGCATGGAGTTGGTTTAGAGGGACATTGTTTAGTCTTTTCCATATTAAATTGAAGTGTCCATGGTGGAAAAGTTTTGATGACTTTTATTCTTGACTTCCCCATTTCTGAAGACAAGAACAAATTGATAATTTGAATTTCTTCATTGCAGACTCGAGTTTCAACAATAAAATCATCTCAAGGATGTTGTAATTAGGACTTACTTGGGTCCTTGTTTGTAAGCTGTGCTATTCCTCCAAATGAACAGCTTGTAGGTGCTGGATTCTTCTGGTAATATTCATTGAATGCATAAGAAGCATGGTCACGAACGGTGTTTGGATTATAACAACTTGCCCCTGCTTGAATTGCAGAACAATCAGCACCTCCATAGCCACAAGCAAAGTCAAGAGCCACTTGTAAAGCAGTTTCTGAAGCCGTTTGGCTTGCAACACACCATTGACCACCTGAAGATGCAGGACTGTTTGTGGTTGGGCTTGTTGGAGTTGTGGTTGGGTTGGCTGGAGGTGCTGTTGGAATGGCCGGAGGTGCAGTTGGGTTGGCCGGAGGTGCACTTGAGTCAGTCGGAGGTGCAGTTGGATTGGTTGGGGATATGGTTGGATTGGCTGGAGGTGTGGTTGGGGTTGTCATGGGTGAGTCTGGGGATAAGGGGGGCATATATGGTGTTGTTGGGGTTTGCCCTGTTGTATCTGGTGCTTGAGGTGATGTTGGGTTTGCCAAAGGAGATGGATTTGCTGTGCCCGGAGTTGTTGGATTGACGACAGGAACTCCATCCGGCAGAGTTTCAAATTCAGATGATGAGAAGATTCCCTGGTTTTCTTCATCTCCTAATATTCTGGCTATCCCTGTTCCTGGAAAAGAAACGAAGAATACTTAGCTTCGCAGTAAGAAAAGCTTGAAAATATATTGATAATGAACCCACATGAATGGACTCAAAACTTTCTGTTTCTTCTCCAAGGAGGCCAATCAGGGATAAACTAAAACATGGGTTTTGGATTTTGATAGAAGGAATAATTTTGTAATTCATTTAAGTGCTATATATACCCTTGCTGCAGCTAATATTAATCATCATTTTGACTTTGTTTCAGAGCTGCTATTAGTAATTCTGCCTACAGCTATGGAACTCTTCATGCGTTAGCAAAATATATTTTTGATACACTGCTTCATTTATTCATACACGCATGCAGGAGATTTGCTGGGTTGCTGTTGTTGATGAATGATCAGCTTCTGTTTCTTGAATATAATTACGTTGTAAGCTCTATTGCTTAATGTTGCTAAATCAATGTTTGAAGCTAAGAAGGCAAAACAAATACATCTGAGCTTATAGGTGTTAAACACAAAGTTTATCACCTGAACTGAATAAAAGACAGAAGGAGAGCAAGGTCAGGTGCCAAAGACTCCTAGCACCCATTTCTGCAGGTTGGCTTCTATGCTTGATTTGCTGTGTTCTTGGTTTGGATCAATGTCAAGTCTGGAGAAGCTAAGATACAAAAAACAAGAGAAGAATGGGGTTGGTGTGAAGAATTTTGTCCTTGTATTTTGCATCTTATATATAAAACAAATACTTGAAGAATCGTGGCTTTCTTGGATCCAGGAGAGAAGGAAGAATATGAGAAAACTTGAGAAAGGAGGCATGGGGTAGCTGAAATTAGCAAGCAATTGTAGGTGCAGAAAGAGGCAAAAAGGTGCTTGTCGAGGGAAAAAGGTAAAAGGGTGATCCATTTGGAATTAAATCTGTTGCTTGGGGCTAAAATATAATAAATAATTAATGATATGACCCATGAGATCTCCGTAATGCCCCTCCTCTTTTTTGCCCCTCTTTTTCACTGTTTTATGGGACTGAACCAAAAGCTAAAGCCTGTAGATTGTGGTAATGTACTTTGTTGCCTTTTAGGGTCTGTAATGAAGAATGTTGTCTCCTCAGTAATCTTGTCCACTTGCGTGTCTCGACACATACCATTTCTTTTCATTTTTATAAATACTGATACTTCCTCTGGAATATTTACGATTCCTTTTCGGGCAAATCTCTAGTTATCCGATACTGTCTTCTCCCTTAAGAAGCTGGCTTGGATTCTCTATTCTTAAGCTACCTCGTTATCGCCATTGTCTCTTCGGTATTACGAAGATTTTGTTATATTTACTAGGTATCGCTTTAGCCAGGGGAGTTTGCTCTTTTTTCCCCTTTTCATATATGATCTTGAGAAACTTTAGATTAAGGTTGGAAGGATAGCATTCTGATTAATTCAGATTCAGGGTTTCATATATTCAGTGACAATGGAAGATAATGGGGGGGGGGAGGAGAATAAATTTATGATTTATCGATCTGATGTTAATTTGGTATTTAAGATTGGGTCTTAACTTGAGTATGGTGGCTTTGGGGGCCCGATAATGAGTTCTTTGAAATAGGATTTCAGAATCCTCCGACTTCCCAACCGTACTGTTGCCCATAGAATTAAAAGAAACCCCAAAAAAAAAATTTCCGTTGCCGGGACTCGAACCCGGGTCTCTCGGGTGAGAGCCGAGTATCCTAACCAACTAGACTACAACGGAATGTTGATGAGGCGATGAAATGTTGATAAAAAGATGCTAGCTTAAATTATAGAAAGATCATCACTTTTAACATTTTTTTTAATTTTTGATTGAGATCAGGTAACTATTTCTGGATTTTCGTTGTAATTTGGATAATACGTTGCAATAAAGCAAAAGTAAAGTCGAGACTTATTTACATGATTTATTACTAATTATTCACACAAACTAAGAAAATTAAATAAATTATTTAATTGCAAATAAATGTGTGACATTTTTTTTTAAAACATCATTTTAACTATTATTGAAGTTTATTAACATAATTTATATATCATACTGTAAAAATCTAACTACATGAAAATTTTGAGGAAAAAAATAATACACGGGAGATGTAGAATTGAAATATTATATTTAAGACTAGAATGAATCCTCCAACTAGAACTGATCAGTAAATTTTAGTTAATGCCATGTGAGCAAGCATCTCATTAGTTGCCTTGCTAACATGGTGGAGGAAGCGTAAAAAAGCACAGTATACAACCCCTAAACTGGTAAAATCTGCATTTCATTAACTACTCTCTTGACAAGGTAGTGAGATTTTGCTCCTGTATACCCTCAAACAATGAAACCAAGGCTATGATACACTCTCATCAAGAGAAAAAATGAGAGATTTTACAAAAGAAACAGAAGATCCCAAGTTTTGAAAGGTTAAAAAATTGTAGTAACGTTTCCTGTGTGAAGTCGTAATCACAAGCTGCGTCTGTTCTGCAGGCCAGGCCTATCGGATTCAACTCCCCTTTATGGTTCCTGTACACCTTGCTTTTCACCAACCATCCAGTTTGATCTCGATGATGCCATTATTCCAAAGCGTTCCATTGTCCACTCATTTTGGGCATTGAGGCCAGCTGTTTGTCAAATGCCAGTTCGGCAGGCTGCTCCATGTATAGTCTAGTAATAGTAATAAAACCTGACATTCTCAGGAAGAGCGTGGCAGTTAACAACCAACAGATTCTTCAAAACATTGGAATTATATGACAAGCAACAAGTTGCATAAGAATACCACTATGGACTATTTCATCCTTGCTGAAGCATAGTGCAGTTCGAAAGCCGTTTGCTGACATCATCCAACGCTGCGCATATGGATATGGATTCACATTACCAAAGGCAATCTACCCTCTTTTTTTTTGTTGGGGGTGGGCGGGACCTACCTGGAAGTTTCTGGAAATCAGGCTCTATCCCATTGCCATTTATGTCCTTGTGATTTGGTGTTACATACTTGCCAACTGTGACAACCACACCGGATCCATCACGCAGTTCAAATACTGATTGGATCAAACCCTGTCAATGACATTGTGCGTGAGTGTCAAGAAAATTGAAGCAACTATTACATACCACATACTCAGACGTGCGTAAGAAAAAGAAACTCATGATACGGCACAGCTCCCGGTCATTACAACCCCACCCCAAAAAAAAAAAAAAAAAATTCTCCCGCCCCCGAGAAAACATTCATTGCATGAAGAGGTCTGTACAGGTAAAAATGCGCTATCTTGCAAAGTGATTCAAAAAAAAATTTATAAACCTTGCCATACGTGCGTTGTCCCACAAGAACAGCTCTACAATTATCATGTAATGCAGAAGCAACCTAAAATAAATAACAGCGTATTAAGTTAGCACAAGAAGTGGAAGATGAATTAACAATGATATAGTTGGGAAAATGAACTGCTCACTATTTCACTTGCACTAGCCGTTTTATCATTCACTAAAACCTGCAATGACAGAAGCCAATAAGATATTTCAAAATGTCCAGTACAGCAAAGACATGAATCAGCAAGGCAAGAGGACCCCCACGGGGCGGCGGGGGGATTGCTTACAGGATCACGACCCATATAAAGGCCTTGGTCAATGTAAAAACACATTTTTTTCACTCCCTAAAAATTGGGCAACTAATAGGACCAGACATCTATTTGACTGAGAAGCTATGTTTCATTAAAAGTTTGACAATGAAATGCCTTGAACAGTTGCTTCTCCAAATGCAAACCTAAAAAGGATAAATCTAGGAGAGAAATATTTCTAGAATGATTTAAGATGAAGAGCAGTGTGTACAATAACAGGAGCTTGAACCAATGGTGAAGCATCAGCAACAATAGCCTTTTGGAACTGCGAATCTCTACCAACAGTGTAGATGACCTGTCGGGAAGACATCAGTAGAACAAATGCCGTGTTAGACAATCAAGCCACGAATACAGTCAGCAACTCAGCATACAATATCAATAGTAGGCAAATGACAGTTACCCTTAGTACTTTTTGAGAGCTTTGACCATAAAGATAAGACAAAAAATATTATAATTATAAATTAAAAGCACGGCAATCTGCAGTATGCTGACATGAATTAACATACCGTGTCCCCTTCTCCAAGGAAGAGCTTGGCAATTTCAATCCCAGCCTGAACAAAAGAAACAACCAAATGGAACATATTTGAAAGGCAGAAAATTATTTTCTGAATGCATGCATAAAGTGGAACATTTACTCAAATTTAACATAAAAAGATGTATACAGGTTACAGGGAAAAGAAACCTGTACTAGTCCTCCAAGATTATCTCTAAGATCCAAAATAAAATATGAAGCACCCATATCTTGTAGTCTCTTCATTGCTGCGAAATTCATTACTGTGATGTATTACAAGATGATCCACAACTCAAGACGCCAGAAATAGAAACCCAATGGGAAAAGAAGAAAAGAGGAAGATCCAACAAGTCGTTGCCTTTCTATTCAATGCTATTGGAAAAATTTATGATAATTTGACACTGCATGGGAAACACCAACAAGATACATAGAATACTACAAACAAAGAAACAGCAAAATGTAATCTTCAATTAGTTTCTGGCACCAAGTTCATTAGAGCAAAGATCAGAGTGAATTAGCATTGCATATTCATTCTACCATCCTTTTCAAGTTCCATACGCATTTTTTATCAAAACTTAAAGAACATACCATGTTACAAAGCAGGATCAAGAATTTATACCACATAGACAATTAGAGTAACTGAGTAGTAATGAGGAAAGAGAAGTGTGCCAATTTTTTCACGCTAAAATATTTTGGAACCAAAGAAGAAAACATGTTCTGATTAAGAAAGCACCATAATTATAGAAGTCAACTGAAACTGACCAATGACTAAATCTTTCCTCGCTAATGCATTGAACTCTTTAAGGCGTATGTACCCCGCAGGAGTAGTATCACCATCTGCTTGTTCCAGCCGATAAAAGACTGGTGTTCTAGCAACAAGTTGCCGCTGTACTTCTATTGATTCTGTAGGCCCACAGTTGCCATGCTTGACCTATCAGTAAAAATAATTTCTCCAATTTCAACATTGTAGCAAATACAGACAAAGGCTTCTGCGCATGCTAAAATTTTGGAATCACAATTCACAACCTGAATAGTCACAAATGTTTCATTAGGGCCCTGCAACAAAGACGAAACTTCAAATGCTGATTTCCCCTGAACCTCAACACCATTGACAGCTAAGATTTCATCCCCCTAGCCCAAAAAGAAAAAAATGAGGGGAACCCTATCAATCATTATACTATATACACATTAATTCTTTGCATGTACACCATTTGATAATTCCAAATGGAAAACAAATAAAGGCAGCAAAATTGATCAATAATAAATCACCGTTGGGGATAATCCGAACAGTGGAAAGAAAAGAAAATGCAGAGCAAACTTTTCAAAAGGCATAATTACTATACGTGGGGTGATGCTTTTTTTTTTTCAGGGATAAAAATTCTAATATTGAAAGTAGACGGGTAAGTAAGGAGCTAAAAAGAAGAAGAGACCCAGAAAAATTCCAGTGCAATCATTTTTAAATTATAATATGGTTAAGGCGCAGAAATGATTCTGACATCACAATAACATTGAGGATCAGCTGCAGACAGAAATTCATTGCAGATAAATCTAAATTCGAAAAGATATTAGTGCATTAAATCAATAGAAACACCTCAGTCTACCTGTCTCACACCAGCAGAATGAGCAGGGCCATCCAGTATAATTCCTAGCACCTTCATTCTGATAATTCCATTTTCATCTGGAACTTCCCTAAGGTTTATTCCAATACCAGTCATGTCATACCTCGCCATCTTCGAGAACTTTTAACAATAAAAAAGTTCATATGCCATTAAATAATAATTGTAAAAAGCACTTTAGAAGAAATTACACGTGTATGTGTGTGGCATCATTCATGCATAAACAAAATCATCAAGCAGAGTCATAAATAGTTTATGAGAATCATAATAGACAACAGCAAGTATAAATTATTCTCCCCTCTCTTGGGAGATACTTAAATTACACAACTTCATCCTCTGTTTTAAAAGTGCACTCTTCTCCCCCTAGAACCAAAAGATGTGCTATACTTAGTACTTACCTTGCATCAAAAGATAAGGTACGATTACATCTATATTGATCAAAACACCAATGAATAATAATTTAATTTTGGAAATAAAATACTATTTATATTTACATAACAAGTAGTAAATATATATTTTATCAACATAAGATAATCAATTTTCTGAATTTAGTAAATTGTAAAATTATTAAACAAAGAATATATTCATAAAATAATTTTTAAATTTAACCAATAAATAATAAGTTAATTTCGGAAATAAAATATTATTAAGTTTATTATAATAAACAGGAGCAATTGTGTAAACTTAATAAGTTATAATATTTTAATTTCATTATTTCCAAAAAAAAATGAAGATAAAAATTGTGCTTTCATATCATATTCATAATAAAAATAATATTTTTTTGAATAAATTTTGATCATCAGTTTCAAACGTCAAGTTTATACAGGGGAAGAGAAGGTGACTTAAGTGAAAATGCAGACACCTTTATTCTAAAAATTTATTTTGCATTAAAGTTATATGCAAAAAAATACAATAAAGCATGCAATCATTATAATCAATGCATTGGACCAGAGAAAATGAAGAATCAATTACCTCCTCAGGGGAAAGAAACCGCGTATAGGGATCACCTAAACTGGCAAGCATTCTCTTTATTATCTGATGAGCTTTTGATCTCGTCTGAATGGAATTGATCAAGATATCCCCCCTCTTTTGCTGGAGTTATAAAATGGCATTTGCGTCAGCCATCACGCAGTACCAGATATTAAAAAATAATAGACTTCAGCATAGACGCAAGCTAGTTTCGCATAATAATGGGACCAAAAGCCACCGCGAGGAACTAGAATAAAATCTGTCCGTGATTAAATGGAGCACAAGATTGACGTGGGATAAATTAGAGCTATCAAATACAAAAACGGAGTCAACAGAACAGAGCTAAATCATCCAAGCAAACATTTCTATCAAACCAAGAAAGATCAATAAGCTGATATTTCAAATTGGAAGGCTACGCTATGGAAATTGGGCCCTCGTCCACTTCAACAGGCATGTGATAGAAGGGATGCGAAACAAAATACAAAAATTGCCGCCCCGGCCTCTTTGGCTAAAAATTCGATAAGCTAATGAACTGTGACAGGCATCGTGTTACCTGCCAACTCTCTTGCGACCAGCGACGACCACCAGCATCAAGAAAGCTATCATTGACAATTTTCCAAGCTTCCTCAACAATTCCCTCATTAGTCACTACCTCTGGACCCGTGTCAGCCCTGTCTTCTGGCTCAAATTCACGGCAAATTTCAGAAGAAGTAAGAGGAGGAGAAATCGAGGTTTGAAGGGAAGGAGTTTCGAATGCAATGGCAGACGGCGAGGAGACCAAGAGTCCGAACGAGAGAACACCGGAAAAAGCGCCGACCAAAGTCCTGTCGAGCCAACTGATGCAATTGAGTCTTGAATTGCAAAGAAGTCGGGGTCTCGCTGCCGGCGACGGTGGTGGAACTGCGAGCCAGATGCTCATCTCTTCTGGAGCTCTTTTGGAGGATGACTGAGTGATGATTATGCCTTGCATTTTATCAGTTAGAATCCCCCGCCTTTTTACTCCAATAAAATAAAATGAAAAATCTTTGGACTAGATTTTAAAAAGGAGGTTAAAAACTCTACCACAAGAAAAGTAACAGTAACCAATATATATTTGACCCCTTTTTTCGACAGAGTATAATATATATTTGACATTTTCGATACAATTTCATGATATATTTTGCCTTAAGATGCATTTTTAATTTGTTATGTTTCTAAAAGAATTATAAACTTCGTCAATAAAATAAAATTGTGAGGCTGAGTTCTTTTTCCGCTGTAAAATTATTTCTAAAAAGTAATTCAAACACCCTCTGAATTTTTTAACAGCATAACTAGTAGTATTAGTGCCCAGGTAAAGCACAACTTGAAGGTAGAGCTTTTAAAAAATTAAAAAAAAAAAAAAAAAAAAGAATACAAGAGAAGGCCAATTATTCGGGCAAGCCGGTCCTCATTTGAGTCGGGTTGAATAAGCTCAACTATACAAAAACAAGTCCATATAAGCCCGGCCCTAACAATCTGGGCTTTCGGGCCAAAAGCCCAAATTGTCAAGACCATTTGTTATTATCATTTTTTAAAGGATGGCCTCAATTTCAGCATCGGAAAAAAAAAAAATAGATCCTCGAAATTAACGGTCAATGTCGCCATATCTTTATATTAATTGCAAATATTCCTTAATATTTTTTTTGGGTACATTCCTTAATATTTTTTTACCACCATATGCTTTAAACATTCTTAAATATTCAAGATTATAGGAATAACATCAAATACAAATGCGTTGTATTCTGGGGTTTGACATCAGCTCTATCAAATGTCATGTAAAAAATGAGATTATACTACCTCCAGTTCTAATTATAAAATTTTGTTTATAGTTTGCAAACGAGATCTTATAAATAGAATCGAAAGATAGTAGTTTGCATGCCAAATAAAAAGTCTGTGTTATCAAAATCCGGATAATATTTTTAGGATAGATAGGAAATAAAAAATAATTAATAAGGCTACAAGGTAGACATTTAATTTTAGCAAGGGAGCACATTTTATGGTCATACAAAATTTAGTATGATCATTCAAATTGATTTTAAATTTTAAATTTACCTTGATGTTTTAGGTTGTTCACATCAAACTCTAAACGATTCAGATTTTATCGCAGTGACAAGATGAATATGACTCCAAATATTGTATGGAAGTTATCATATCGATGAGAATGTGGTGAGTCAAAAGAAGATTGTTTCTACTAATTTTTCTCTTCATTTTTTTCCATTTAATATTTTTATCACTAGATCAAGTTTCAACGGCTAAAATTTATTATGTAAAAATATTGTTATAATATTAAATTTTAAATAATAAAATATAAGTTGATAAATTTATAGTATTAAAATTTGATGGGAATGGTTTAGCAATTGTAAATTTTTATTATATATAATGTAATAGTAATAGTTTTATACTTAGTTTTGAATCTCAACCATTGAAAGTTAATTCAGTAACAAAAATATTAAGTGGAGAGGAAGTGGAAAAAGAAGTTAGTGGAGACATTTTTCTCCCTCGATGAGTCTAGGCGTTATTTATTTTCCTATTATTAAAAAAAAATAATTCACATTTTTCAGTTAACCGAATTTTTCATGACTCATCTGAACTAACCTGAAAAATCCAATTATAAAAGAAAATTATAATTTTTTTCAAGCTCAGCCGCCTCGTCATGAGGCCGGGCTCTAGATGGCGACTCCATAAAAGTTCACTTGCAAATAAATTGTGAAAAGTATTTGAATATATAAGTTAAAGTATTTATTATTTATTTCCTGCAAAAATTAATTCAACAATCAATTATTAATCATTGCTTATCATTGCTGCTCTGCGGCCGTGGGTTGGAATAATAGTAATGGGGTCTATTGGAATATTAATTTACAAAATATAAGGTTAGTATATAAGGAGAATTTGGTCTTGACTTATACTACCTCTGGTTCTTAATATAATACCTTGTTTGACTTTTATTTTAGTCCTAAATACAAAACTCCAATCTACTCTGTATTTTATATTTATGCATTTTTTTTTCAAGTTAGTCTTTCTAACAATGGTATTTCTAACCAATCTAGTTGATCAGTAAGGATATTTTAGGAAAGACAACACATATTCATTACAAATAACTAACTTAACTTATTTTCTCAATCTCCTCAAATTAGTCACCCAGCTCTTATAATTAAGACCGGAATCAGTACCAAGCATGTTAAGTGATTCCAAACATAATTCTAGATGGGACCATAATACTAATTGTATCAAGCTTAACCCAAAAGATCATTTGCTTGCCTGATAAAAATTTGGAAAAACTAATACTGCTTCCAATTCTAATTATAAGAGCTAATTGACTAATTTGAAAAAATTAAGAAAATAAATTAAGTTAGTTATTTGTAATAAATAGGTGTTGCGTTTCCTAGAATATCCTTACTAATCAAGTGTGTTGGTTAGAATTACTATTGTTAGAATGGCCACCTTAGAAAAAAATACATAAATATTAAAGATAAAATGGATTGAGGTCTTATATTTAGAATCAAAATAAATATCAAACGAGGTCTTATATTAAAGACAGGAGGTAGTATCATAGTCCCTGCACTCTGGTCTCATTCTCGCAAGTTATTCCTTGTTATTGAATCCTTATTACTTCAACCGTTTAAATTGTCAATCATTCTACTTGGAAAAACGTTAAAAAAGAGTTAAATGCCGCTGATGAGCAGTGGCTGATAGGATCGGACATGGCAAACATGAAAACAAAGGATCTGATGCACCTCAATTCAAGTTCAAAAGAACATAGAATAGAAATTCAACTCCTCCTCCTCTTTCAAGAACCACATCAATTTTCTTGCACACCTCCTCCTAATACATGCGTCTTGCTTCGGTAGTCACCTAAAGCCACTTTTGAGAAGGGAAGAAATCAACGATATCTTGCCGCACTAAAAAGATGTCTGGTAACATGAAATACATCTTTATATATTTATTTCGTTTCTATAAAAACATTTTTAAAATCGTAGTTTGACTTCCATCTAAATATTCTCTAAGAGAACTATAGTAGAATCACACATGATTGCTTCTTTTGGCCGTCCATCTTGCTGAAAGCTGCCCCTGAAGCAGTCCTGCTAGCGGTGGCGAGAATTTGCTCAGCGAGGTTAACAGCAAAACCATCCTCTACAGATAACTGTTTCATCAGACTCGACGCTTCCTCTTCCCTTAGTGATTCAAATGACCTCACTCACATTGTATTTAACTATTAGCAACAAAGCACTAGACATACTTGTAACTTCAAAAGTAATTTGCGTGTTATTTTAGAGTTAGAAATTGAGTCCACGTGTGTGCTAACTTGGATCCTTTAATCATATGCCCAGTAGAGCTGTTAATAAGGGCCGGCCCAGGCCTAAAAGACTAGCACTTGAAGGGCTAGGGCTTAAAAAGACTGGCCCTTTAAAACCTGCATATCTTAAAATTATTGTGTTATTAAAGCCCGGCCCTCAGATGTGTGGGCTCAAGGCCTAAAAGGGCAAGCCTTTTTATGTTATTTTTTAAAAATTTAAATTCTTTTCAATTGTTTTGAAATTAAAAAAAATAAAACAATAAAACATCTAATTTTTTTATTCAAATTATAATATTAGTAAAATAAACTAATGATGTATAAGAAAAACATCAAACATTAATGATTATTATCCAAACTAAAAAAACCAAATAAAATAGGGAAAGTAGAATGATAAAACCAAGCAATTAAAAATTAAGAATATCAACATGATTATTATCTTCATCTTCATCACCATCATCAAGATCAACAATATTTGATTGTTCTTCACTGGAAGTGTGCTCTTTTTCATGATAAAAATATCAAGGTTTTTGTTTTCATCACTTTGTCTAAAGTAAAACTATGTAGTAGTTATGAGTACAGATGAGAGCCTAAACATTTGTTAGAATAAGAAAATTTTTATACTTTGTTAAGACATGTGAATTGATAGCAGAGGAAAATTCATTAGTTACTGTAGTGATTGAAATGCTAAGAATATTAACTGTTATCTTTGAAAGAATTGAAAATTGATTTTAATTGTCCTTCCACCATTTCAAGACATCTAATTGTTTTCAATTATATGGATTAAGTATTAGTTCTTCTAAATAATTTTCTAATTCAAACTTATCCATAAAAAATGAATCCATAACTATATAAATATCTTAATTAAAAAAATAGGCGGATTTAAAAGGGCCGGCTCTCGACCCTAACAGGACGGTCCTTTTATTCCTGAGTCCTAAAGGGCTAACCCTTTTAAGCCCAATTTTGTTTTCAGCATCCTCAAATATAAGCCTAGCCCTTCACTTAAAAATGCTTAAATGGGCTGGTCTGATGGGCTCAGCCTGTTTTGACGACTCTAATACCTAACAAAACTTAATGTCAACTGCCAAGAAGAGTGAGACGCACAACTAAAAAGCCACTATGAAAACTCAAATCCCTTAACCATGCACAACAAGAAATCAAGGATTTGCGCAGCAAAAATTCTCCCTTCTCTCATCTGCGAAGGATCGAGCCCAAATTCTGCGTCATCCCTAACCTAATGTATATATTTCAAATTTGTTACATCACTGCTCATGGACAAACGTGTAACTTGTTTTTAATGTGTTTTAAGGGAAGGGTAAATGGCTTAAACGGTTGAAACAATAAGGATTCAATAAAAGAAATTTTGAGGGACCTCATTAAAAATGAGACCAAAGAATAAGGACTGCAATATAGGTCTCCTTAAAAATTTTGATCAACTCTATCGTGTGCAGTGAAGGTATTCAAAACCAAACAAAACTTTCTAGGTGAGTAGTTAGCATCACTTACATAAGTAATTATAAACACGTGAAAGTTAAGATAAAACTCATTTTACATACTTATTATATAATTCATAAATTATAATTGAAAAGCCGTTTATAAGTTATTTTAGATCATTCTTGTATCAAATCATGCAAATCAACCCGGCTAAAACTTTTAAGGATCAATTAAAATAAGGAATGTTCTGGTTTTCTCTCTTATGAAGCCGATCAGGATCGGTCTTGCGTGCTAAGAACTCGAACCAAATTGAATCAGGACTTTTTTTTTTTTTTTGGGTACATACTCGTATAATATATATTTTATAGCATACCTGTAGCAGTTATTTTATATACTTTTATCTTTTTACTCCTCTAACCCATTAACTTTAGTATTACGTCACTACATAATATCAACTTGTTATTAAAGTTAACGTTTATAATAACATATTATTAAGTTTAACGTCAACCATCTAACTTATTTTAACACGAGTTTTTTAAAATGTAATGAAAGTGGGGAAATAATTATCTAAATATGATCCAAATCAGATCAGATATAAAATCTAATCAAATCGAACTGGTGAGATAACCAATCAATTTTTTTTAAAATTTTTTTTGTTCAGTCGATTGGTTTGATTTGGTTTTTGTTTAAAATTGAACTAATCGAGCCTGGAAACTTCGGATGAATGAAATGCGTTAAAAAACCAAAATCAATTATCAATGGCTTTTTTTTAATTAATATTCAATTTGAATTTATTTTTGCCATCGATATTTTGAATTTAAATTAGCAAATAGTATAATATAATATTGTTCAAAAAGAGTTTATCTAGTCCCAACTAATCAACAAAAATAAAGTTGACTAAATATGCAAGACAAATACAATAAATTTATCGCATTGAATTAAGTTGGATAACTTCTGGTAAATTATTTGCATATACATGTATATAATTATAGCTGGTAAAAAAATATATATTAATTTTATGACTATTTATAAATTATAATTTTTGATACGAAGGAAAGTATTAAAAAAAACAAAGCATTGGTCACGATAATTAGACCCAAAGGACATATCTTCCCTCTCTGAATAGTGGGCATCGAGAGGCAATGATTGAGAAGCAATAGAAGAGGGGGAATCAGCTCGTAACAAAATTATGGTCATTTACAGAAAAATAATATATTAGAAAATTTGCCCGCACAGAGAGAAAAGGAGGGAGAGAGCGAGTGAGATTGTGAGAAGAGGTTTTCGGTGCAAAGCGAGAAAGGGAGCGAGAGAGAGACAGATATCTTTATTCTTCTTCTTCGCGCGGCGGAACCCTAGCAAGCAGCGAAGTGAGCCAGCCCTCTGGGGCGTCGGAAGATCCGGGCTTGGTCGGGGAACATATAGTCAGGAGAGGGAAGGTGGAACAGAGGATGAGTAGCAAAGGAGGAGGCAACAATGGTAAAGGTAGCAATGGGATATCGGGGATTCCAACGGCGTCGAGGAAGATGGTGCAGAGCTTGAAGGAGATTGTCCATAATTTCCCTGAGCATGAGATCTATGCGATGCTTAGAGAGTGTAACATGGACCCCAACGAAGCTGTTAGTCGCCTCCTCTCCCAAGGTTCTCTCATCAACGATTTATACTATTTCCATGTGTTTGAGATCATTTTATATTTCATTTTTCTGGTGAAGTTATCGTTTGCCGCCTATATGATAATCTAATTTAAGCATTTGTTACGGTTTATTCTGGGCGTCGGGGAATTTGGTCTCGGTCCAAGCTCTAATACTCTTTAAGAGCTTCTTGAGTGGAGTTTATGGGGTGCTCGAGAAATAAAAAAACTTTTTTGCCTGCAGTTTTGAATTTACATGACATGCTTTTCATTTTTAAGTTTACTGAAGCTGTGCAGGTCTAACTTTAACTTTCTGGTTGTTGGTTGGAATTCAAGTTACATGCTTTACATCGCTCTATATATTCTATCTTGCGTTAAACATATCTTTTACCCCTCCTCTCTCAGCTGGAGCAACGGCAGTTTCATTGATCAATAGGATCCGTCTGATTCTTATCTGGCAAAATAAGAATTGAATAAATCTAAAAATAAATGAAGTGTGACAAATCATTGATCTAGAGCTTCTTGTTTGTCTTGTTGTCGTAGATACCAGCTAAGTCTCTTTGTCACATTTAGAGATGTAAACTTAGATTTTATAGATAATAAATTGGAGACAAAGTGGTCAGAAGGCTGGTGATATATCACTTGCTTATAGTATTTGGATGGCTTAATTTCTAATCTTAAGTTTATGAATTGTGTAGATCCTTTTCATGAGGTGAAGAGCAAACGAGAAAAGAAAAAAGAGGTGCGTCTATGCGAGAAGCATACGTTTTATTCACATTGTTTAAAATTTAATTTGTGCACGGCAATTCGTCTCTTATATTATCAAGAGGGTGTACAGTAACTGGTTTTGCCGTTTGTTTTTATTTAACTTTGTTTTCTTGGGCGGGGGTCATATTTGCTCGGATTTATAGATAAGTACGTGTGCTGGAGAGTAAATCCTCAGCAGGGTAATTTATAGATATGCTTATTGTTTTGCCGATGGATGGAAAGAGGGACTTTTGTTATCCTCGTATTTCTATCTTTTTTTCTTCTCATTTTGATGTTATATGGTTTTCTTCTCTTTTTTACCTGTTCTTGCCTTGTTGCTTCAGAGTAAGGACACAATTGATACCAGGTCACGTGGGACAAATAACACATCTAGTCGTGGTGGCAGGACTGGCACTGACCGTTATGGGGGACGTAGTGGCACCAACCAACTAGGTAGTAATGGTATGTGGATGGCGGGTGCTATTTTCTTTTACTAGTGTCAGACATACTGCTACTCAATTGCTGCAAACTTTAAAATTCACACGAAGTTACAACTTAATTTCCCTTAACTTTTGTCCTTTCTGGAGGTCAGACTCTGGTCTCCTGCAGGGAAAACCTTTGCACAAGAGGGAAAATGGAACACATGTTTATGGAGGCTCTACGCCTTCTGCATCCAGTAGTGCAGGGAATAATGTCAACCGGTGGCCATCCTCCTACAGGTTTGTTTACCTTTGTTTTTATCTGAGTTTGGGTTTGGAGGAGAGCACTAATTAACCATGTTTATTACACCCTTCTTTTTCCCCGCCCCCCCTCCCTAAGGCTTTGTGTGCAGCAGGAGGATACTAATACTACTGGTTTTTGATGCCAAAATGTAGTCATTCTACACACCTTTTCAGTTTTCCATTTTAAATGTTCACTATGCATGTGCATTGAATTTTGTAAATGATGATCTTTTTTATTTCTAGCCTTTAAATGAATATCTTGGCATAATCTTACTGTGCTATTTACTTTCTGCTTCTTGCAACTTACTTTCATGTTTATGATGTTGAAGCTCATGTTCGACTTTTTTTTTATTTTTTTTATTTTTATCTTTGTTTCAAATTAAAGCAATTATTTTTTCACTGAGTGAAACTGTTTTTGTAATTTTATAAAATGGGATGTGAAATGCTATTGAGAACACAATTTGGTGGTGGTAGGCATGTATGATAACTCTGTATCCAGTTTATTTTGGTCTTGTCAATTTTCAATATTTTTTCCTTGTTATAGGGTACTATAAAATGGATTTCTTGAATTTGTGGCTAAACAATGCAGTATCTTTATCATTCTCTATGTTTAAAGCGCCTGATGGGAATATGTCACATTAATCAATGGAGCTTCTATGGCCGTTTGATGCCTGGAAATCGAACCCACTATATATATGTGTTTGTCTGTGCCTATGCTCACACTCACAACTAAATGCCACCACTTGCCTGGGTTAGCGGTGTATGAAACTAATTATGTTCATTTGCTGCTCCACAAGTGTTAACTTGTTAAGTCGCAATAGGTTTATCCAACTCATGCAAATCCCCCCCTCCTTTCAATTTGATAGATTGATTGTTATTGTATTCTCAAACAGTTGGTTCCAGATTACTGTGAATGCACATTGAGTTTGGGGAGGGAACAATGAAAATGTTGGGCAGATATTGGCTGAAAATTGGCTTTACTGAATTTTAATTTGCATTTTTTCTTGTTATTGTCTGGATTTGGCTGTTCTTTTAGATGTCTTGGGTGGCACATACAATTAGCTGTCTTTTTAAATGTGATTGCAAGCATTTAGGCACCAATCTCATTAGAATTAATAAACGGGGAAGATATTATTCTCATGTGCTGTTGTTCTATATTGCAGTGATTCTGTGGCCACTGAAAATAATAAAGTATGTGGCATAGGCGTGGTTGATGGGCTATCTTCTGCATCACATCGTGCTGGATCGCATTCTGCTTGGATGGGGAGCTCTGGCCAAATGTCAATGGCTGATATTGTTAAAATGGGCAGGCCACAGGTTAAGGCTTCCATGCCTAACTCTTCTATCCATAGTAGTAATCATCAAAATGTTTTGGCTCCTCCAGCAGCATCGCATCACAATTTGCATCCAATGCAAAATCATGCTCCAAAGGTTTCGGAGACAAACTATGATCAAGACTTTACTCTAAGCCAGAGTGTCTCACAGAATAATGAATGGCCTTCAATTGATCACCATCAAGCTGTTAACGTATCTTCCGTTGTTGATATGCATGCAAATTCTGATCTCTATGCAAACTCATCTAACTTGGGTGAAGCTAATTGGCAGCAGACATCCCACTTTGATGAACATGTCGATGGAGGTGGTCCTGTTGAGAATGCAGACAATGTTGAGCCTGCTTCAGTGTCTGCTAAAAGCGTAGCAGACGAGAATGTTGGAGGTGCATCTTTTGATGGCAAGTTGTACAAGGATTTAAATTCTTATCAATCTCACTGTCATCCTTTTGATAATAATGAAGGTGGTCCAATGCTTTATGTTTTGTACCGTCTTTACAATCTTGTTCTACCTTTACATCTCTTGAAGTATGCGTCTGCTAAAGAATTCTATTGTAGAGAGTGAAGCATGTATGAATGAGGACAATTGAGCTAGTAGTAATTAGAGCACTGATTTCTGGACGGAACTGGCATGAAGTTACCTAATTTTCATTTGTGATGTCTCTCGTTCTATGCATATGTGAGGTTAAGCAAATAGATGCAGGGTATATCTAAAACCATTATAGGTTAAAACAGCAGGAGGAGCTATTCTTGTATTTTCCCTTTGATGAACTCATCTAAAGTAATTATTGTTTTAGCGGTTTTGTTCTTTTTCCCCCTCCCCCTCCTGTGTGAGTGGTGAAGGTTGGGGATTTGGATCTTGTTATTGTAATACAGTTACTGTCTGAAGCTCATAACTGCCTGTGATTATGATAATTGTGCCTGCATAAAGTGTCCCCGTCTTGAATTCTTAATTTCTGTCTGCCAGCTGAAAATGGTATTTCATCAGTGGCTGCAAACATGGAGAAGCTAAATTTGCACCAAGATGATCAGGCGTCAGAATCAGAAGAGGGCCATCCGTCTGTAGTGATTCCAAATCACCTACAACATCACCATCCGGAATGTTTGAATTTGAGCTTTGGAAGTTTTGGATCCGGAGCTAATGCTGCATTTTCTGGATCCGGGCAATTTGCTTCTAGGCCCTTGAAAAACGACTTGGAGGAGGCATCTGCAACAACAGATGCTTCAACAATTGAGCCTTCAGATGCAAGGTATGTCGCTTTGTGATGATGTACTTTAGTGCAGTTTTCTGTCTTCCAGGGTTGTCTAAACTCTCGAGGATTTTGTTTTTGGGGACAGGAATTCTGACTATTATGGAGATGAACATCTTACTACTACTTCAGATGGAAATTTGGTGCATAGAACTGGTGTAGGGGCTGAAACATATGAATCTCCTTCCATTTCACAACCAGAGGTTTTAAGTTCCACACCGGTTGAAACTGCTCCAGGAAATCAATATTCATTTCCTCAATCTTCACAAGGATTTACTTATGAAAACACCCAGCAACCAGATGTCACGTTTCCTCATTCACAGACAAGTTCACAGATGCAAAACCTTGCTCCCTTCTCTAGTGTTATGGTAAAGTACATACAATTGAAGATTCATGAAGCTGCATTATAACATATTTCATAGTTGGGTTGGGCCTTATTCTGCGTCTTCTATGAGTTCCAGTTCCAGTCAATTTTACAATGACATGATGAGATACTTTGCCGTTAAAATTTGCAGAATCTTTTATTTCTATTGCTATGGTCTATGAGGTGAATCAATTTGACCTTGTGTCGCAAGAATTTGAGTTGATTGTATAATTTGATAAAAGCTGATTTTAGGATTCCACTTCTCCCAAACTGCTTTGCTAAATAAAATCTGTCTACAATCTAACTATAGCGTAGTTTGTCCCATAATACAGTGCATCCATTTCTTCTGTTGTCTTAATGTGGTTATAACGATTGGTAATGGTTTAGTTTTTTTTCTTCTATCTTCCATTTATATTGGTCAATCCTACACCACACCTAAATTTTAGTTTTGAGCAGGCATATACAAATTCCTTGCCGAGCGCATTGTTGTCTTCAACAGTTCAAACATCAAGGGAGGATATCCCATACTCACCCTTCCCTGCAGCACAGTCAATGCCGGCAAAATATAGCAACATTGCATCTTCAATTGGTGGTCCCACTTTATCAGTTTCAGAGGTGCGTTTCTGCTTTAGCGTATTTAAATCTCTGTATAGTGAGGCATCCTTGATGAGCTTCCCATAAGAGTTTTTTTTTTGTTTTTGTCAAGCTAGAAATTTTTTTTCATTTTATTTAAAAAATTGTTTATATCAAAAGACTGACCGATTTTTTATTGATGTTTGTCATTTTTGTCTCCACTTTCCGTTATTCTCCTCCTGTACTTGGCTTGTCATCCAGTGGTGGTCTTTTACTTCCTACAAATATGTTACAAAATAATCTTATTTGCTTATGCTTCACAAAGTATCCATTCTTTTCGATTTCTACAGGGTATCTGAGGTTTTTTTTTTTTTTTGGGGGGGGGGTTTTAGATTTATTACTCTCTCTGATAGAATTGTGACTTCTAGTAGGAAGAAGAGTGGAATGGATGGGACCCTTGAAAAATAAGCATCAGACATATTCTTGAAGGGTCCGAAATGGTGAAATTGTTGAAATGATGGGAAAGGAATTACTAGGGAATGATTGACCTAATGAATCAACCATATGTGACGGTGAGTTGGAGGAGTGTGGTGAAGTTAGTTAGCAGGGAACATTTAGGTTTTGTTGAAGGAGGAGTCAAGGAGAAATCTGCTTACTTGGTGGAGTGACTCGAGTGGTCTAGCCTCTTGCAAACTAAGAGTTCCTTCTACTCTTGCAATTTCTCTTGTGTGCTTGCTGCTGCTGCTTTACTGCATGAATTTTCTTTTGTGCTGTTCCTGTTTGCTGGTTTATGTTTGGTAGTTGAATTTCATCCGCACACTGTATGTACCTGAAATTCACTGTGCCTTTGAGGATAAATTTCATACCATTTGATTATATAGGCTTTATGTGCTGGTTATCTTTGTAAATGAATTTCCCATTCATTTTCCTGTGTGCTGTGTGTTCCTGAATTTCATTCATTGTCTTTGAATGTCATGGGTCGACTCCTTTTTTTTTAACTTTCGTTAATTCAATGATGGGAGCGTTTCGGTCATGTTTTGGTATTACTATCGAGCATCAATCCTAATATTGGGTTTTTATGCATGTTGATGTTTGTAAATGACCATTTAAATTAAAAAGCTTTGTTAATGTTCAGGAATAATTTTACTTTAATACCTGCCCCTTATATGAGAGCCCTTTGGGCTTGAAATGTGAATAAAGCAAAGGCTAACATACCTTGTGCGAAAATTTAGTCTGAATTAGGAGGATGGGAAGCAGCAAGGATGTAATTTTAAGCCCGTTTGGTTATATAGGCTTTGATATTACATCAAAGACCTTTTCATTTTGGAAGCTTGAGCTGTTATGTTAATGCCCATGAATTATGTTATTGTGGCCGCTAAGAACTTTTACGGCTAGATTGCATGACTTGCTTGTTCAAATCAACTTTGAAGTCCTATTCCGTGTTTTTTTTTTTTAAATAGAAAGCGCAAGACTCTTTAAGTTTTGTGGTTTCATCCTGATATTTCTGTAGCGTTGGCCTAGTGACTTGTGATTTTGATATGCCTATGATAAAGCATGCTTACTTTCCTATTTAATGGAGTGACGTTCTGGGTAATTGTTAATGTTTTGACATAATTGCTGGATAAATCTTTTCATTCGATTCTCAGTGCAACTGTAGAGCATGTCATTAAATTTGTGTTGCTCATCTGCTATCGCATTTGCTGAGTCAGATATTTGTATAATTTATTTTTTGGGTCTAGGAAAGAGGGTGACTTCACGAATTGAGTCATCTGATGATTTATCCATGTTGATATGCAGGCTCTAAGAGCAAGCAGCATCTCGACACCTCAACCTAACCCACAACAATCCTTGCCTGGTGCTGGCATTGCCACTGGACCTGCACTTCCTCAACATCTTGCTGTGCATCCCTACCCCCAACCTACGGTTCCTTTGGGACATTTTGCTAATATGATAAGCTATCCATTCTTGCCTCAGAGCTATACCTATATGCCTTCAGCATTTCAGCAGGCTTTTGCTGGAAATAGCACATACCACCAATCTCTTGCAGCAGTCCTTCCACAGTATAAAAACAGTGTTTCTGTCAGCAGCTTGCCCCAGTCAGCAGCTATTGCATCTGCATATGGTTTTGGAAGTTCCAACAGCATTCCTGGTGGGAACTTCCCCTTGAATCCACCTGCTGCTCCCACTGGCACAACGATTGGCTATGATGATATTATTAACTCACAGTACAAGGACAATAATCATTTGATATCGCTGCAGCAGGTACAAAGATCTTTAGCCTAAAAATGCTTTACCTTAATTTAACCGGCTTTCATTATCGTGACATTTTTAAAATTTTCTTGTGTTTGTGAGAAACTGTAGCGCTCCCCTCCAGTCTCCAATCCCCCCCCCCCCCAAAAAAAAAAAAGAATGAATGAATGGAAGAAAAGAAAGAGCTAAGGTTTTTTCCTTCTGTTTTGGAGCTGTGTTTCTTACCTCGGAATTCATATGAGCGATGTATTTCTTGTTTTGCCAGAATGATAATTCTGCCATGTGGGTACATGCACCTGGCTCCCGAACAATGTCTGCAGTTCCAGCAAGCACATATTACAGCTTTCAGGGACAGAATCAGCAATCCAGTGGATTTCGGCAAGGCCAGCAACCGTCACAGCATTTTGGACCTCTAGGCTATCCTAATTTATACCATTCTCAGACAGGTGTTTCTCTGGAACATCAGCAGCAGAATCCTAGGGAAGCATCCCTTGGCGGATCTCAAGGCCAACAAGCCACCAAGCAGCCCCAGCAACTATGGCAAAACAGCTACTAATCCTATGTCCCCTGGTTTTTCAGGGTCTGGGTGACTTAAAAAAGTGGCCAATCAGGGGCGTTATGGTCTAATAATTTAAAATGTATCATTATTTGGTCTAAAGAGGCCTTGACTGGCTGCTGCCCTGTGCCACGAGGTTGTATTCTACACCACTACTGTCGTGATGTTTAACGTAGGAACTAAGTGTGCTAATTTGGTCTACTTTGTACGTTTTTCAACCTTTATACTGTTCTCTTACTGGTTATAGTGGAAAGTTCTTTGCATACTGCCCTATCCACCGTCTTCTCGGGTATTGTAGCCATAAACCTGCAAGGTACATAACTTGTTATAGCAGAATTAGAGCAATTCACTACGAACGGGATCTTTTCGAGTTGTTTCAGGTAAAATGAGGACAGAAAAAGGAAAGACTCACTTCTATATAATCTGCAAGAATGCTGATGAGCTCTATACCTCTTATCTAAAATGTATTTCAAGGGATTTCTGCTCCTACTGAGGGAAGGGAATAACCTTATTGCAAACTTAAATTCCTCAATTTCTCAATAAATACCCGGTATTATTGGCCAGAAACTAAATGAGTATATTTGACTACTACTTTCTATTAAGACTTTATTTAATTTTTATTTTGGTCTTAAATATATGATTTCAATCCACTTCGTCTTTTATATTTATATATTTTTTTTCAAAATAACTCTTCTAACAATAATAGTTCTAGTCATACATTTGATTAGCAAGGATATTTTAAGAAATATAATACCTATTTAAGACAAATAACTAACTCAACTTACTACCTTAATCTCTTCAAATTAGTCAACTGGTTCTTGTAATTAGAACAAGAGGTAGTATTATATTTGGTGGAGGAACTATTGTTTAAATAATAATAATAATTGTTGGACACAAGTCAAACAAAATTTATATTTATATAGCCCTAAGAGAAAACTAGCGGTTAAGAATGATTTTGATGTAAGTTTTGGCATAAGGATTTCATTCAATTGTATGGTAAGTTTTCTTGATAAATTCATTCGACCAACCCGTATTCAGCAAAGTAAATATCGTGAGTAATATTTAATTAAGCATTTTTATTACCAGGAAACAAGTTAAAAATTGTACAAATTACTTAATGTTATAAAAAATCATTTTGAAATTTTAGTGTATTAGTATTTGGCTTGTGTCACAATTTTTTATTTAAATTAAAAATAAGAAGTTATATACATATCCATATTAAACTTATAAAATATTATCTTTGGTATTTAATATAAGAGCTAGTTTAATATTTGATTTAATAATAAGACTCTAATTCATTTTGCTTTTTATATTTATCTATGTTTTTAAAAGTAATCCTTGTAGTAAGTGTACATGTTAAAGATTTCATTAAATGATAGTTTTAATTAATATACATGATTAGCACGAGTATTTTAACAAACTTCCTAATTCTACCCAAATAACTCAACTGACTCTTATATTGACGATATGAGATAGTAATAGATATAAATATATTCATTAAATTGATTGCAACGGTAACTTTTCTTTAAGGATCAATAATAATATGTATAGCACATTTTTTGATTTGAAGTATGAAAACAATTTTCAACTTAAAAATAAATTGTATTTTTTTGTTATGCATCTTCTTATTATGAATAATCTTATTTGAGATACTTTTTAATACTATATGTGGATACTTCTTTCAGTAAAAATTTGAACTCCTTATCAGAGATTAGTCGGGGCCCTAACTGTATTTTGCATGCAGCTGCCCACTGTGCCTCCGCTCTAATCGGCCCAAAATGCTCAATGGATTCCGCTTCAGAGGGGAACAGCTTTCCCCGGCCCAACCCGACAAGACAAAGCCCCCATCTCGGCGTACATTAGCAACTTTGGGCGCTCACGCTGGCGCATGTTAGCTAAGCGAGCTACTTTACTTCTTGTTATTGCCGCCGTACCATTTCCCATTTGCGTGGGGCGTGCCGCGACCACCACTATCGTCACGTGGCAAAGTCCATTTCTTTTACTTCAGTGATGCAATGCCTCAATTATTAGCATTGTTAATATGAATTTTCTTTTTCGTATTCCAGTTATAATTTTCTCTGTTCAGGAGTTTCCAAGTTCTCTTTTGAATTGTAAGTCTCCAAATGCTTGATTTTATGTATTCTTTTCTTGCCTGTTAGCGTTAGTATCGTGCTTATTATCGTCTATCATTTGATTCCAAATTTTGTTCTTCTCTTGGTTATTCTTGGTTCGGATCATTGTCTTCATGATACTTTTGTTTTGGAGCACGGGTACTTTGGTGAAGGATCATAGAGTTAACATGGCGTAGTTCTCTAGATGCTTGTGCTCCTGGGATTCATAGCAAGGCTTTTTTAACTGTTGAAAATATGAAGTTGGGTGTTTGGAAGGCGGAAAATATTTAATGATTGGCGCTAATACAATGCTATGCAGTAATTGTGTTTTATCGTGTTTCACAGACACACGCACGATTTTCCCCCCTTCTTTTTTCCAGTTAAGGCCTTGGTTAAGACGGATAGGTTTTCACTGGGACTAATTCTTTGATTTACTGCTTATTTGCTTAACATACCTGAGCAAGTCTAATTTCTTACCTGAATAATTAAAAATTTTACTCCTTATTGCGTTCTAGTGTCTTTTGCCCATCCATCATAGGCATACAAAAACATCGGTGTTTTAAAGTCAAGGGTCTTGGGAGGCATTCTATTGATAATGTGTACTTCTGTGAGGATGGCTTCCCCCCAATATTGGGCATCAATGCGACCTTTCAGTGGAGGACCTTTTCCACTATGATGCTGCCTACATCCTATCTTACGCTTATCACCTAAGCTATATCTTACCCTACCCTTGTCACCCAAGTTAGCCTCAGGTGATATGCAATCTTTGTTTAAATTTAGATTGGCACAAGAGATGGAGGAATAGTGATTATTTATTTGCTTGAGCCTTTTCTTTTCTTTTCTCCCATTAAAATACTGTCCTATCCTAAATACACAGTTAAATAGTTTTCCTTCAAAATTGCACAATTAATTTATGGTCACTTAGAAATTTTTCTATTGATGATCAAACCAAGATGTGAAGTCAAACTAATTTTTTCAAACATCACATGACAGAATCTGTCCTTTATGATGCTGTTCGTGGAAGAGTGGTGTGCTTTGTGAAGTTTCTGGTCCAGAGATACCTTGACATGATGATACATGTTGGATGCTTTACTTTTGTGCATACCCTTGGGTGGAGGTGAAAATGAGTGACATAAGAGAAAGAGACCATTCGCACTCCCTGAGCAAAAAGATGAAACCTGCAAACGTTAAAACTTGTGATGTTAAGGATAATTATTCTCAAATTGACCTTTGGACTGATGGGCTTATTTGTGCCTTTGAATTTGTTCGAGGTCAAAGAAAATCAGTTCAATCAAGTTCCCCTTCAACTATCCCAGATAAACAACAAATGGATGTTGAATATCCTAAAATATATGTCCCTGCAAATTGTTCAAGAGGGGCTTCCCTGAGACCAGATAGAAACATGTTGTCAGAGTCATCATCTGCATTTCATTTAAGTGGTAGTCGGTTGCATAACTCAGATGACCAAGATGGCCAGTTTTTTCAGTCTGGCCAATTTAATGCTGCAGAAAAGTATGAGCGTAGTCATTGGGTGCCAATTGGGTGGACAAGAATTTTGGAGCTTGTCCAAACTGTTCAGGTTGATGGAGCCTGGGCCTCACAGCAGTTTGGGACAGCAGACGATGAAGATGATTTCACTGTGGCAGATTTAGCAGCTCCCTACTGGGAGCGCCCATCAGGACCCATATGGTGGTGCAATGTGTCTGCAGGTCACCACAACATTGAGGTGTGGCTTAGAAATGCTCAGTGGCTTCATCCTGCCATCAGTGTAGCTCTAAGAGATGAAAGTCGGCTAATAAGTGAGAGAATGAAACATCTTCTCTATGAGGTAAATTGTATTTTCCGTTTTTCTACTCTTAGATGTTATTGTCTTCAAATCTGATCTTGGACACTACTTTGCTAAAGATCATTTCCAATGCGCAATATCAAGCTCTTGGTGCTGTCTTAGGCTAAGCTTACAAGATCAGTGACAATGTCAGCAAGAAAATCAGAAATACATATGCTAAAACTCTAAAGAGAGAAACTAAAGAAATGAATTCCATAATTTGCAAAACTTTTGGGGGGAAAATCTTGATTATGAATTGTGGATGATCTTTGAATGAAGATTGCACTAAAATAGCAAGTGTTTTGACCTTCTTCAACAGCTTTAGCCACTATATATAAAGAAGTCATATCTTATCTCTTCAATGGTGTTACTTGTTTGTTTCTGGTCTGGGGGCTTGTTGGGTTGCTGTTTGTTAGATCAGCTTCCATAATAACAAAGTAAAAAATGAACCGATCTTGGATGAGCAAGATGCTTTGTTGCTGATTTTATATGTTGATAGTATATCAACTATTGTCACCTATAGCTAAGTGAGCATGTTTCCAGTATTAAGCATTTTTACATACAGGTGAGGAAGTGCATGTAAACTGTGTTATGTATTACTTGCCTTCAGATCGAATAAAAAGTTGGAATAACATGTTTGTCAAAATGATCCATTTCCTTTTTCTTCTTTCCAACTATTTTTTAAAATCTATTGTCAACTAGTAATTCTAATTCTCATCTTTGTGAATGATCTACTCTAGCCCTAATGTATCCTTAACTGCTAATATAGGATAGATGTTAGAAGGAATCTTGTTGTTGAACAATATTTGCAACAAGCAATGAATGTTTTCCTACTCTAAGGGGTTATTTCTTCGGCCTCTAGTTTCTCGGTTATTGCTGAAGTTGTTCTCTTGTATATAGATCCCAGTTAGAGTTGCTGGAGGTCTGTTATTTGAGCTCTTAGGACAGTCTGTTGGTGATCCCTTTGATGACGAAGATGATGTCCCTGTGGTACTTAGGTCCTGGCAAGCACAAAACTTCCTAGTAACTGTAATGCACGTAAAGGGGTCCGTGTCAAGAGTGAATGTTTTGGGTATCACAGAAGTCCAGGTTTTTCTTCCTTGGCATATTTCTTTGATGACATCTAGCCACAAGTTCACTACCATGTGCATTCTACTTTTAAAAATATGTTTCATTGCTTCAGCACTCTGCTTTGGTTTAGGAGCTTCTTTCTGTTGGAGGGTATGACATGCCAAGAACTGTGCATGAAGTTATAGCACGTTTAGCATGCCACCTTTCTCAATGGGATGATAGGTAATGACAACATTATCTGATATGTGATTTATTTGGTATGAACAGTAGCATTTGAAACAGGTCATGTGCGTGGTATATTTATATCTCATGTTTCATGCTGTGTTCTATGCTTTAGTTTTAACTTTTTGAAACATCTTTGTTTCTCCTTTTCTGGCTGCGCATTCGTTTTTCCTGTAAAGAAGACTAAACTGATAATTGCCTTATAACTTGGCACATTTCCGTTACTTTTTATATGCTTGAGGATTCATAAATCAGTTATCATTCCGAAGAAACTCTTAGGGGGTCCCTGACTGAAAGAAAAAAGGGGTAAATGTTTGGCATCGTATCAGCAAATGCATTCTTGAATGGCTGAATATCATTTTCCTTCGTAGCTGTGTGTGTGTGTGTGTGTGTGTGTGTGTGTGTGTGTTTCATTTATATAACATGCAAAGTCGTGATTTTATGGAGATAAGATCACAAAATCAAGAAAATCTAAATCAAAAACAAAAATAAATTGAAGTTCAAGATTGTGATTGTAAGACTTATTTCCTCTCAGAAATTGACTATACATGGGCTTATTTGCATCTGAGTCATGCTTCATAAAAAGTGGCATGCTATGTTAGGAATTGGCCTCATGTTTGCATCGAGGCATGACTCTGTGTGATGGAATGGCACTTCGGAAACTACAATTCATAGAGAACTTCAATTTTGTTACTTTGGTTTAATAATCTTCTTTAGATATCCAGGTTATTCCGTAAAACAATATTTGGGGCAGCGGATGAGATTGAATTGAAGTTTATGAACAGGTTTGTTACTGTGCATTATGTGTGGCAATTCAAATTTTAGTGTTACTTTAAAATGGCTCTGCGCTAAATTGAGAGTTTTCCTTTTGACTAGGAGAAACCATGAAGACATAAACCTTTTAAGCATAATTCTTAATCAAGAAATCAGAAGGTTATCTAGACAGGTATGTTGATTCAGAAAATATTTCTTTGAAGGAATTTCTTATTATGAGCTATATGAGTAATTGTAAGCCCAAATATATTTCTTTCGATCATTTTTACATGAAGCATACCATTTCTTTTTATATTGGCTTGGTCTGCTACTTTCTTATTGAATAATTTCTATGGAGTTTCTGTGAACAACTGAACATTGAGTATGTCGTTTGACGTGGGAGCAGTTTCTTACACTCTTACTGACAAAAGTTAAACAGATGAAGTAATATTATTAATTGGTATGTTTTAGTAAGGAAAATGTGCTGCTAATAGTGATTAATTTGTCTCTGAAACATATGGTTAAAAAATCATATTTGGATATTAATTTTTCAAATATTAATGATGACAACGACAGATGTTGGGGTTTTAATGGAGGCAGCACATGTTTATTTTGTCTGATAACCGGTAGAAAGGTTATATTAAGGAATAACTGTTCGTTTATAGAGATATGGAAGATCTCATGTGTGTTGATCATTTTAATGTTAATCACTCAGGCACACATATTATAGCTCTTACTTCTCAGTTTGTATGCACCATGCAGGAGAGACTGGAGCGTTATCCATTGTCTTTACTATTGTGTTTCCACTGCAGGTTATCAGAGTAAAGTGGTCACTGCATGCGAGAGAGGAGATTGTGTTTGAGCTTCTCCAACATGTGAGAGGCAATGTGGCAAGAAATGTGTTAGAGGGAATTAGAAAGAGAACAAGGAACATGATTGAGGAGCAAGAAGCAGTTCGAGGCCGCCTATTTACCATTCAAGATGTTATGCTGAGTAGTGTTCGTGCCTGGCTTCAGGTATTGTTGCCAAGTTTTTCACCCCAGTTCTTATTTTCAAACACAGGATGACAACTTACACCGATATTTACTCTGCATGTCGCATCTTGGTTGGGTCGGATAAGTTAACATCCAATCAGGGCTTCGAGCATGTTTGGGCCAAGTAGCTCGATCTCTATTTGCCTCATATTCCTACATCATATAAATCTACAAAACCATCTATGATGAGGTTTGAACTTATAAGTAGAGATGGGTATCAGGCGATAAAATACCCACGGATATTAGTAGAAAAGAAACCAAACCCCCCCCCCTTTTTTTTAAGAAAAAACATAATCATAAGCGTGGGTATTGAACAAAATGAATAACAAGATGAGGATGGATATTGCAAACTAAGTCCTACTCCAATCCATTGCCATTCCTACACAAACAGTATTCAAAATGATTTCTCCATAACTGTTCTCATACTGACACCTAAACTGTTGACGCATTTGTTGAATACTAATTCAGGACAGAAGCCTGCGAGTGACCCATAATTTAGGCGTATTTGGGGGAGTTGGCGTTGTCCTTACCGTCATTACTGGACTATTTGGAATTAACGTTGATGGAATACCTGGGGCAGCAAATACACCATATGCATTTGGTGTCTTCACAGTCATCACATTCTTTATAGGAGGAGTGCTTATTGCACTTGGTCTGTCTTACCTCGGACTCAGGAAACCTATTGCCGAGGAACAGGTTGAAGTTAGGAAGCTCGAGTTGCAAGAATTGGTGAGGATGTTTCAACATGAAGCAGAGACTCATGCTAAGTTCGTGAAAGTGTTCAACGAAGTAACTTACCTCCTACTGCTGGGGATACTTTTGGTCAGGATGCAGACTACTTTCTCATACAATAGAGAGAATTTGTAATCTAACTTGTCAGGGTTGATGTCAGAAAATTGAGTCAGTGTCCTGCAAGTTGAAGCGTCTTGTATAAAGTAAACGATATCGTAGTTAGTATTATAGGGTCTCAAACCATTATAGCAAATTTGATTTATTGTTTTATTCTCTAGCAATGATGCTGTTTCTAAACAAAGTGCACTTAAAATAATATTGAAAGAAGTAGAGATTCAAATTTTAAAATGATGCAAAATAGCGAAATGTTCAATCTCGTGGTTATTGGTATTTTCTATGTCAGATATTCATTAATAACAATCTTGATAATTATTCCTACGTATAATTTTTTTCATTTTTTTATTGAAAATTCTAATATTTAAACCACATGATACCATTTTTTATCGGCAGCCCCATGGTGCTTTTACAAGAGACAAATTTATGAATTTATCTATATTTTTTAAGTCTGAAAAATAAGTTGCACTACTGATTTTGATTCAGTATATATTGCACACGCATATACGTATGCGTTGATATATTCATAACTCGCTGGTATAAAAAAAGAGATATTCATAATTTAAGATAAAATAATAATTTATTAGTTTTTTTCACAAAATTATAAAAGGCCTTTTTTTATAGCACTAAAAGACATTTTTCAATAACATGTCTTTGATCGATTTCAAATTAACATAATTAGTAATTAGATTATTAATTATTGATAAATTTATAATATTACTTAAAATATAAAATTTTTATTCCTAAAATTTTACCTAACACGTAAGAATAACCTACATGTGATTTAAAACAATCTCATAATTTTAGAAAAAATTTATATTTTAATCAAATACATTTCCACGCAAATATGAGAAATAAATTATATTGTATTCATAACTAAGAAATATATGGTACGAAAATTACAAATTGCGCGATATGTGAGTCAAAAGTTGTGACTTATTTTTTAGACATGGAAAATTTGTGCTTTGTAAAAATTAAATTAAATTGAATTAAACGCCTGCCGTGCATTGGAGACTTGTTGTACCAACCGGGCGGAAGGGGAATGTGAAAAGGTTTGCTGCGCTCATTCGGCGAAATTCCGGCGGAAACGGTTAGTGCATCATACAAGCTGCAATAAGCCTCACCGCCTGAGGCAAATTTTAGCGAATGAATCGGTTTCTTCAGCTTCCCCTACTCTCTTCACCCAACCTTAAGGCTTCGTTTGCACCGTTGTTTGAAGACTTCCTTCGATCGGATGGATGGTACTATTTGTTTCTTCGGTTGGGTTTTCCATGTTTTCAAGATTTTTCTTTTGGGTTTACGCATTCATATGGATTTTGCATTTTGATGTGTCACTTTCTGTGATTGTCTAATTTTCGCCAGTCGATACCATCTTCCCCTGCCTGGGGTAAGAAACTAGGGAGAGAATCTATCAGTGATGAATGCCTTGGCTATCAATTGGAAACTTTAGAACCGTGGCGTCATTAAGTTGAAATTTTGATTTGACTTTAGTATTTTCACTGTGTTTTGTTGATTTGGATTGATTTGGCTGTAGTATTCTACTAGGTACTGGATCCTCTTCTACTAATTTTAGTCGCTTAAATAATTATTTATGAGTGTGTGTATTTGCTAAGTTGTTTTCCCCTTCCTTCCAACGTGCATTTGCTAAGCATATACTGATTTTACACCTATTTATTCACTATTTACAGTTTTTAATGTTTGGTGAGTTTTACTTATCATGCTTTCAGCGTGAATTTTTGTTCTTTGGAATTCCACTTTAACTTGCTTGCAGTTTATGTAGTCGTGTCATTGACATACCTAAGGATCAAGTTGGAGTCTCATCAAATAAGTCACTTCCCAGATTTAGAACATATTGCACGAGCAAAGGTTCGTCTAGACCTTTTTCAGTCTTTTGCTCCTTGGCTGCGGAGCAAGTATATTCTTTTCACATCTAATTATTTTTAATTTTTCATTAGTAATACTGAGGTTTATGCTTCAAATTCCTGCTCTTAGTATGGCCAACGGGATGAGAATGGATGAAAATGCATTGGCATAAAATAGATTGAAACTCCTCTCCTTTTAGATGAATATATTTATACATATATTTATTTACATTTCTCTGAGAGTGATAGCTAGATGTCCCATCTTAAACACGATTCTCTCATTGTTTCATGGATGTTTCTTCGATTGTTTCATGGGATTTGAATTTCAAATGACCCCTGTGCCCTTGCTTTTGGGCCTTGTCAATATTCAACGATATCCCTCCTGTTCACTTTCTGCTCATTCAAAGTTGTATTGTCCATATAGATGTATTCGGTACTTCAGCTTTATACTCTCCCTGTTTCCTATTAAGAGAAATTATCATTTCTTTGATGAACCTTGCTATTTTATTACTTTGTCTCAATAATTGGCTCTTTGTGTAAGAAACTAGTTTGATGACAGCACGCATATGCAAAAATCTCCTTGTGTCGTCGTCTAATATGCCTTTTGTTTTCTGGCTGTTTGTTAGATCTGTTAATTAAGAAGTGTGTACCATGTAATACAAAGGAATTGCGACCCATGACCGATGGTGTAGCAGACTCTCTTATGCCGCAGGTTCATTTATAAATTTCAAGTTCTTTGATTCTAATTCCGAGTGCCATCATTTTTGTTATTTACGCGGGGTGGTCAGGTTGCTGGATGGAATTTGGTAAAGGAAGATGGTATAATGAAGCTGAGGCAGTCATGGAAAGTAAAATCTTTCACCAAGGGGTTGGAGCTTTTCAAGATAGTTGCTGATCTTGCTGAAAATGAAGGTATCATGTTCTTTATTCGTTGTGTTACTATTATTGTTTGATGTTAAAGGTTATACAAAAGATATAACTGAGGCGTTTGTAATGCAGGTCATCATCCCGATCTTCACCTTGTTGGTTGGAACAATGTTACTATAGAGATTTGGACTCATGCAGTTGGTATGAATTACTATTCAAGTTATTTGATCCATTGTCGGCATGTAGAAATATGATACAAAAGAGCTTTTTCCCACGCATGATGTGAAATCAACACGAGTTTGTGTAGGCATATTGGTGCTTACTGGCTACAGCATCGATGAAACAGTACATTTCAAGCATAAGATAATTTGGTCTGTCTTTATTGACATTGATTTTTTTTTTCCTTTTTATCATGCATCTCTGCTCTTGCTATCCTGTCACTCTCTGTAAAGCAGATAAATGTATATTTTTTCCTCTTCAAAAAGGAAAAGGTCCCATGCTCTTGTGATTTTCTGAAGTCTTGATCTGGGCATCTATTCACTATTCAGTAGCTTTAAGTTTGCTACTTTGCTCTTATGATTTTCTGAGGCCTTGATGTGGGCATCTATTCAGTAGCTTTAAGTTTGCTATTTTATTTGCTTAAAAGCTGCTCGTAACAAGTAAAGAAAAGGAAGCAACTTAAAAAAATTCGATTTGAAAGCAGATGGTAATGTCAGTACTGAAACAAATGAGAAGTGATTGTCTTGGGTTTCATTTTATAATTTATGCGTGCAAAGCAGGACTATGTATTTTTTTGATTCCTGATATTTAATCCTGGGTTTTATTGAATCTATTCCCTGGGCATTTTTCAAAGTGATCTATGCTCATGCAGGCGGACTGACAGAAAATGACTTCATACTTGCTGCTAAGATCAACAAGCTTCCTGTGGATCACCTACTAAGGCGGAAAGCTGCAGAATGAGAGATGGCTATGGGTGTTTCCCCAAATAGCGTAATAGAAAATCAGCACGAGGGATGCCTTCGTTGCTTTAGTTGTTAGTGAATTTCGAAAAACATCTTGTGGCGTGATCACTGTGCTAATGGCAACCTTATAATCTAGTGTTGTGCTCTTCCCATTTCAAAGGGTGAGCTCTGCAAATTCCAGAGATAACGAAACTTACCAACAAGAATTTGTTGAGTTTACCCGCAGGGGCGTCCTGAGTTTGGTTTGTGTTTCTTGGATTTCCCGGATTGTATGTTGAAATTTAGTCAACTGAAGACAAACCTCAAAATACCCATCGTATTAAAAAATTATTGCTAACCAGGCAATTGGCGTTTCTAAAATTTATTTCTAAACAATTAATTGAAATAACAATAAAAACAACTATGAGCAAAAAAAAAAAAAGTCTATTGGGCATATTTTCCTTCGCCATTTGTCCCAAGACCACTATCGATATACAATTCCATTTTATCTTGCTTTAAGTTTCCTTCATTGAGTGGATGCCTTCGCAACGTTTACAACCGGCAACCAGAGCAATCCGTCCCAGTAGGTATCAGTATTTCTTCACGAACTGCCTGAGGTAGAAGGTGCAAGGAAATTAGGATAAACAATTTCTCATATCAAATACTCCAATCTCTAACTGCAATCAAGAACATAATCTTACTAAGCACAGCAAAATTGCAGGGAGTTGCAGAATAACATGATTATTTATCATCGGTACAGAACCTACTGAAAAATCATGCAGACTTTGATATTACAAAAAATGTTTCGTGAATTTTGACTTTATTTTTTTTTTTGGTTCAAAAACTGTTAAACTTTAGGTCAAAGCAAATGATAGAAAGTCACGTGCTAAACTAGTTGTTAAAGCTTATGCTATTCTAACGTACAGTAGTGACCCTTATAAAGGGGGAACTCTTTTCCTCCTCTGTAAGAAGTGAAGTGTGGGGGTGACATGCAAAGCCCCAGATGATATCGACATTTTTTTTTTTGGTAAGTAGATGATATCGACATTAATTGCTCAAAACATGAACAAGAGTTACCAGGATTATCATAGAATGTAAGGCCCATGCATTTTAGTGCAAACTGCCTTCCTGTAATCTGAAATGCATGTCTACCTAAAATTCTAGCATAATCCAGGATCTATTCTCACATGAATCGAACTACGTCTAACTTCATAAACGTGAGCTCACTAAAAATAGTAGATGGATGGTTAAAGAGCAACGACTGTGATTGTTACCTATTATTTTATTTGATAAAATTAGAGTTATGTTCCTTTCTAATGTTAGAGGAATCTAATCATGTCATGCAATTGTGAGGAGTTCCATGAGAGGAAATCTATCCAACCCCTTATTAATTGCGTCAAACTGTAAACATGAAGTGGTTGATTGTCCCAGGAACAAGTCTAGAATAGGCAAGATCAGGAAAATTAACTTCTGATCATATCATCCTCACATAATACATCTAACTGCAACCAAAACAAAAACACTTCAGCACAACAAATTAGAGAGTTGCGGAGTAACACAACTGTTCCCCCACGAGTCTAGAAGTTTGAGAGGCAAACTTCTGGAAAAAGCAAATGATAGACAATCCCACATACTATACTCATTGTTAAAAGGTTTAGAAGCACTTCATGCACAATGGCAGAAAATAGACATGATTCTTCAGACTGATCAACAGTAGATGCCCAGATGGCTTCCCCTCTGATAAGTCTAAAATTCCGGTTACATTGAAACGATGTCCTTTGTAAAAGATACTGAAGCATATAACTTCTTGAGTCAAAGTATTCCATGGAAAATTTCAGTGAAACCAAGACCTCCACTAATCAAGATCCAAGGTAATTGAATGAAATAGTACATAGTCTGGGCAGACAAACGCATTGAAAACAGCAAAGTAGTCCTTAGGCCCCAGGCCGTTGTAAATGTTTGTTACATAATATTTCCATCAGCTTCATGTTGAAAGACAACTTGGTCCTTCCAATAACTAGAAACCCTCAAAGTTCAACCAATTAAGTCACCTATTTATTAAAGCATTCAATAACTACTCAGCTCACCATGAATTGGTCTATCAAACCGAACTATCGTGTTTTATTATACGGATAACTTCTATTCACTTACAACATAATGTAATCAAATTGCAATGGCGAATGCATATAAAAGCTAGTCATGAATCACGTAATTTTCATTTAACGTACTTAAAGTATATGGGTGTTAGATACAGAAAGGACCTTCCAATTAGGGACAGCACGCTACCTCTGTATTTAACTTCATCTCGATAGAGGCTTCTGAAGCAAGGCAGTCAAGTAAACCTCTCCATTCTTCAACCCAGTAGCATCGGTCTTATTTCCGATCGCCCACTTCACCTTTTTGTACCCAAACTTTCCAATCAAAGGGGCATAAACATTTTCAAGGTCCACTCTCTTGCTGAAGAATTGATCTATCCACAGATACCCTCCGCCCCTCAATACTCTGTCCACATCATAGAACATAAACTCCATCATCGTTAATGGGATCCACCGGTTTACTGCGCGACCGCATCGAACAAGATCCACAATACCATCGAACAATGGCAGCCTCTGCTGCAGCGGCACATGCAGCGGCACCAACCCCCTCAGCGCCACGGCCTCACTGTATGGCGCGGCCACGTTCATGGTTGTAGTCACTATCGTCACATTATGCAGCTTCATTCTCGCAGCAAAGGTCCCCGTGCCACCACCGATGTCGAGACCTAAACGGAGAACAGATTTCGCCGATTTTGCGATTTGCATCAATTGTGGGAGCGGGAGATCCAATTCGGTCTTGTAGCTCATGAATTTGGAGCTCTCTTGAGATAGGTCGAAACCCATATTGGATTGAAGCGGTTGAGGCAATCAAAGCTTTTGCAGGAGTACTTATCCCAGATAACAGATAACATTGGAGCTCGGGAGCGACGAAGGGAAGGGGTTATGTGGAAGAGAAGAAGTAGGTTTTTGTGGGGTTCTAGTGAAACATCGCCGGCGAGGAAGAGGGTGACACCCGCGGAGAATGAGAGTCTCAGCGAGGTCGGAATCTGAAGGGCAGAGCGAGAAAGGAGTGTAGCTCATGTACTTGTGCAGGAGCTCAGGGTAGTTATGGCAAGCCGAAGCTATAGGAGCCAAACGAGAGTACAACAAGAGATCTGAAGGGACAGTGGGTTTAGTGGCGGAAGCAGGATTGTCACTCCCAGATGACTGCTGAAGGCGCGTGAGTCGATTCACGGTGGCGCGTATCGTATGGAGTTGATGGAGGAGCTGATCGGGAACATGTTGAGTCGTTTTCGGGGAACTGGGAGGCTGAAACGAGGAGGCGGTGAGGTGGTAGAGGGCGAGGATATTGGTGGCCACCATAGCGACGAGAAGAACAAGATTCAGACCCATTGTGAAGCCCATTTCCTCAGCTGAGGTCTCTGGATTTGCCTTATGTATCGGTGAGTGAGTCCCTGACACCTGCAGGTCTGCTTCGGTAATTGGAAGCCAGAGGACCTTGTTATTAGCTTCAAATGGGATTTGTTTAGTTTCTTCAGGTTTTGACTAAACTAGCAAAAAGAAAGAGTGATGTTGACGGAGAGATTTGAGTAATGATTCAGTGGTCATGCCATGTAAAAACAAAAAGAAAGAGGAAACGATTCTGCCGCGCAAGCATTGACTGTGGATTAAACGTTTCTTACCGGAGGATTATACGGTTAATTTTATAGGCAGTGTAAGATATTTAAATAACTTGCTGCGTATTAGTAAATTTAACGGATTTTATTGTTAATCTTTAAATATATGAAATTCAAATTTTCAAACACTCTGATATTTGAATCATAAAATCTCCCCTGCTATACCTTGGGGGGGGGGGGACAAAGTTGATGTGAATCTGGATCTACAATGGTTTGAAGACCATATATGATCTTCACAAATTGGGTTTGAGATTTCAGCCCAGAGGGAGGGTACGGATCGGATTTGAATCTTTTATTTTATTTGTTCTTTTTTTCCTCTCTTCACGTTTCATTCCTATTATTTAAAATTATTGAGATTTAATATCTTATAAAAGGATTAAATCTCAATCTAGTTTTTAATTTACAAGGTACATGTAAGCCAAGTAGAAGAAAAAATTCCTCTTTTTCAACACCTCAAATGGTGTAGATGTCATGAGATCATGAGTTGTATTCATGTCTCGTGGTAATGTTAACTTACGAGAATGGTTTTACACGTGTGCTTGTCGATACTCTTTCCATGATTGTTTGAGCCTTCAGAGTAACCATGCATGGAGTTAGGTTAGTTGATGCGGGACAAGAAACTTGTTCTGGGATGTTCTCTACTAGGTTAAACTGCGAACCTATTATTACATTCAAGTTTCTTTTTGCACTTTGCTACCTCTATGTTTTTACTCTCTGTTTTACGTTTCTATATATGTACTTGTTTTTTTTTTAATATTTTATTATTGGGCTTCATGGTTACCTTTCTTGATATGTTAACTGTTGAAATCCTTTTTATATATTGTTTTACTTAGTTTTTAATAAAACTGTCTTTTATACAAGAAAAAGAAGGGGGAAAAAATAAAGAATGAGAAGAGCAGGGGAGGGTAGTCAACTAGTCATTACTTAGCAGAGGTTGGTTAAGTATGTAAATGTATTTGTATTATTATTAATTAATAAATTTAGAGTGAAATATGGTTGAGGTTGAGGACATCGGAATTGAAGAAAAGAGAAGGCAATCCTGAGCTAGAAAAAAACTGAGGATGCATATGAATTTAGGGCGTTTAGGTCCTCTCATCTCATACTTGTCACCTTCTCTGCTTTCTTTGCTCAAAATCTCATTCATTCATCTAAGAAACAGAGTGTTTGGATAATTTTACGGATTTTCAGATACATAGATGGGTTTTATCCTGACTCACATAAACACTTTTTAAAGCACTTCTAGGAGTCTATTTACCAACCACAAGCATTTGGCAAAATAATGCGCATGACTATTTAATGTTGTTATCTGTCTTTAATGCAGGCTGCATTATCACAGCATCACAAAAATCTCTTTGCTCTCAAATCACGGGTCTTCTCTGCCCAAAAAAAAAACAATTTGTGTCTTTCTTTGTTTGGGCCTCCTTAGAGGTTAAATCCAGTATCAAGAAAATTCGATCATTCGTTCAAATTTACTATACACTTATTTCGTGAAAATCATCCAGTTCAATCTAATTTCTCACTGAGCCTGACCAATCCTGAGACAAGTCCATGAACATGTCTTTCCCCGTTTGAACAATGATTCAATTTACTGATTAAAGCCGCTACTTAAATTAATTGCTAGTTACGTATATCTTATATATATATATATATATATATATATATATATTTAGTTGTTCCTGAAAAAGATAAAAGAGAAAATGCATAAAACTAATTAATCATTTTTAACAATAATTATAACCAATTAATATCATTTTTTGTTGGCAAAAAATATCATTTTTTTATAGAGACAATTAATAGTTATCATTTTAATTTTGGAAGGGACCATTACAACATTAGTATGGGTTTTGACAATAATTAATAGTAAATGACAACAATTTTTATGAACAGGTCTGTATGTAATTTTTTAATTTTTAAGTTTTTTTTTGGTGATTTTTCCTTTAATTTTTGTTACATGCATTGAACCCAATATATTCAGTTATGGAAAAAAAAAACGTCCGAGAGGTTGACTTTTTTTTTTTGGATACAGATGTTATTTTTTGTTCCCGAACAAATAATAAGGAGCATGCACCAAACCCATTAGCAGAGTTGCGCAATGGAAGGCCCATTAGCTGGCGAGATTCATAGTGGGCCGATAGAGTGGGCCCATTCAAATAACGCCCGAGGTCTCTCACGTGTAGAGCTATGGACGATGGTCGCTTGCCACGACACCCGATAGGCTCTCTGTTTGAATTCTGACTTCTGACAAAGGCAAACGCGATCTTTTAACAAAAGGGCAATCGCGTATTACAAACGCGATCTCTAAACAAAAGGCCTTTCGTGGTTCAGTTGGTGAGGAGGTTGCTCCATCCTACTACTCGTCCTAGGTGGTGAATCGGGAAGTTCACTTTCGGTTCTCTAGGGTTTACTCTGCTTAGCTTACCAATGGTGCGTTCAATGAATGGAACCGTTTATATCGTTTTCTGCTTTATTTCCCCTGATTTTTCTGCTTTATTTCCCCTGAAAACGGAGGGACTCTGCATCAGGGTGTTGAGGATTTATCCTCTTTCCGAATTTTGAATGTTTTCTGACCTAAACATGTCGTGTTGACATGAGTAGACTTCGTTTTTTTTTTGGGGTGGGGTGGGGTGGGGGGGTTAGCACTGATCTGTTTACATGCTGGATGTCTTCTTTGGTAATTTGGTGGCGGAGATTATGACGCTTGATATCGGTGTTAAACTAGTTTGATAGTTTCTTTACGAGTTTTTGAGCTTGAATAAGAGCTACGGACCTTAGAAACCTTGAACTTTGAAATCTCAAAGAATTGAGATGATCCCTATGTGGAATTGCAAACTTTGGATTTCATGGTGCTCTGCATTTTGTTTATTGGGCTTCTCTTAGTTAATATTCTTGTTGTTCTCTGGTCTACCACCTTTGAACTGTAATTACTCGTGAGGCAGCCCTGAAAAATTAGTCAAACCTTGTATCTCTGTCAAAGTGCACCCCTCTACTGACTTGTGCTTCAACGTTTTGGTTTATGGGTTCCTAGTTTCATACTTCTTCCAGATTAGTTAATAAAGCTACTTACTGTTTTTCAGGCTGATCCTGAGTTAGAAGCAATCAGAAAGAGAAGGATGCAGGAGCTTATGGCTCAGCAAGGCATGGTTAGTGGTCACTAGGGCTTTAAATTTACTCAGTCCTATAAGAGAGAAAGTATATTGTATATTGATGTTGCTGGTCATGTCATTATTGTTATCAGGGAAGTCAACAAAACTCTGAACAGCAGAAGGCTCAGGAGGATGCTAAGAGGTCAGTCACTTAATACTAAATTGCTGTACAATTACACGAGCTTTTCTTCTTCGTTCTATAAATTATATTTGAAATATTTTTTCCTTTTCTGCATTTAATGTTTTTGGGATGAAAGATTATTCACCTAAACGAGAAAACAATTTATTTAGGGAGGCGGAGGAGCGAAGACAAATGATGCTCAGTCAGATATTGTCTGCTGAGGCTCGAGAAAGACGTAAGTTTATACCTGAATTTTTGGATTCTTGTTTGTCTAGTCACTTTTTATCTATTAAAGAGCACTAAATCTTCCTTCCGGTTTTGGTTTGATCCTTTAATTGATAATTGTTATAGAAGCAACTTTATTTGATAGTCTGTTCAATGCTACTCTACAGAGGGTCTGACAGAAGATTGAAAGTGCTACTTTTACTTGGATGCAATTGGCGGTTGTATAATTTAGTTATATCTATGTTGAGACAATTTGGGGGAAGTGCGGTAAGAAATCATCGCATTTAGGGGCAAGAAAATAAAAGACATTTTTTTTAAGATGAAAAAAAAAGGCATCTAAAATGGGTTATATTCATGGATGAGATTACCTTCAAAACTTTAGTCAAAACGATGTTACAAAACCGCTCATTAAAGATGTCACTGGCAATAGAGCCATTCTTTGTTTCAAGATGAGCTTTTCTCTCTCATTCTCTGCTGTCATCCTTCCTCCCCTCACTTAGAATAATGTATTATTGTATCGTACATTTGTATGTTCCATTGTTTACGATAGCATGCTAATTTGCTATTTACGTTTTGATCTTTTCCTTTATATTCTGCATGTAATTGACGCTTTTATATCTTTCTTGTTTGTGCTATCATTATATGTAGTTGCTCGAATTGCTTTGGTGAAACCTGAGAAAGCAAGAGGTGTTGAAGATGTCATATTGAGAGCTGCTCAAATGGGGCAGATAACAGAAAAGGTACTTTGGATCTTGTCATTTGCCGCAACTTCTCTACTTCTTATTCTAATGATGATTCTATTTCTATATTTTCCATCCTTTTGATCTCCGTTGTAACTCTTGTGCAACCAATCATTCTACAATCTTTGATGCTGAGAAATGTTGATCAATCTATAGTGCCATGCTATGTCTTGTGGTTGACACTAATTAAAACTTGCAAAAGATAGTAAACTGTCGATTGTATTCTAAACAAGCGGCTTGTGTTATTGAGTATGTTTAATATTTCATGACAAGTAACTACATTTTCATTTATGGTTATAAATTATCTGCTCTGTTTGATGATGGTGAAGGTTTAAGCCTACTGGCACACTTCAATTTTAGATGAAAAGGAATAACATTTTGAACGTAGTAGGAAAATGTAGGAAAGTAATTTAGGTCCTGTTTGCTTACTAGTTTTAGTGTTAAAAGAATTGTAATTTGACAAAGTCCATCTAAAACTTGGAGGGGGAAAAGTTTGCGGTGAATCAAAATGTGAGGACAAAAATGCATTTGATTAGCAGGCTATTGAGCAGTGGGTCTTGAACTCTATAGAGCCACTGCCATGATTGGACATGATGAAGCTTTGGCCATCACCATAGTTCAAGAAGCTGCCTCATCATTGAGGAGGTCATCAGATTTCTGATTGTAGGAAAACCTGAAATTCTCCGGGTTAAACGCCCGTTGCATTGACATCATTATTCAAGTCCATTAGTTTTAGTTAGCAAAATATAAAAATAATTTTTTTCTTATTCTTTTCTAAACCTAACGTTGTCATGGCCTACATCATTCGTTTCTATTCCTTTCTTTGAAGAGGCTCATTTTGTAGTAATCAATTGAGAAGAAAAGAGAATAAATAAGATCAGATCCATTTGGAAGTTGAAGTGTATTGCGTGTGAGGAATTAGAGTAGGGCATTTTATCTATTTAATGGCATGTGCAGGTTTCTGAAGAAAGACTCATATCATTGCTGGAGCAGATAAACAACCAAACAACCAAGCAGACGAAAGTTACTGTAAGTTGTAGACTACTGGCTATCCCATTCTTTTTCAAATTAGGTATAATTACCGCTGTGTTATACATCTTGTTACATTTTCAGATACAAAGGCGTCGCAGTGTCCTTGATGATGATGATTAGCTGTTGCTATGATATCCCTTCGAAAGGTGTGCTGAGTGTTAATACGATGCTTTATTGTGCATTTAACCACACAGTATATCGTTTGAGTTGCAAGACATATATGTTTCAGTTTATGATTTTGAATTTTTGCCCCTTGCCAGTTCGAATTACTCTGGAAGAGTTTTCATTTGTAACCGGTCACATTCATATGTATGACAATATCTATCTTGTGGGTGGCATCTGCTAAATTTATGGTTACGTACACATGACCTGAGATATATAGATTACTTAACATTCAGTGCTCTCTTCACAGAACCTTTTTAGATGTAATAATCACAAATGACTGCAAGCTGTTCGGGCTTGGCGAGACTTGGAGATGAGCAAGAATAATTTTACAGCTCTGGTTGTTGATGCCTGTTTGGGTGATGCCCATTTACTAGTCAGCAAACGTACCAACAGGTTAAGTCTATGAAGAGAGCTTGTGAACAGATTGGATCCACGGGAGACATGGAGATTTCTCCTTCTAAGGTTGTGACCTGACATGAATGGCACAAATCTGCTTTCATATGTTTATAGCCGATTGGGCTCATAGCTTGTTTGCTTATCTGAGGTCAATCTCCGGATTAATTCACTGGTATCATTATTTTAGGTTTATGCGTATCCAAACTCGAATCTCCGTTTGAGCCGAACAGACCTATCGTAGTGTTGATGTCACGCAATAGCTTTGTTCCATTTCTCATGTGGAATGGAATGAAATAAGATGAGAAATCACATAAAATAATTTTATAAATGAGAAATATCTCGAGTTCTGCGGACAAAAATAAAAAATTATGATTGAATTAATTTTATTCTAATAATAGCCTTCAAGAATCTGATTAGGGCCTTGGCTTAACTACGGTGCCAGGTTAACGTATCTTGAGCTGCGTATGATTTTGTCTTCTGCATAATTGCGTTTATTATTTTAATGTAGGGGTGAGGTCTGGTTTTCCGATTTGTATGCTCGAATCTAGTGTGATATCATTACAACTCATCACTTGCTCACCGTCTCAATTATGCAAGAGTCACTCAAATTTGGTAGATTAGATTATATATTAGTATATAGGTTAAATAAATTAATTTTAAGAACATGACAAATATAAGAGATAAAATGAATTAAAATTTTTATTAAAATAAGCTTTCTAGGCAGTTCTTGAAATTAAGACCTGGAGAGCATAATGTTATTATTGGTTGGAAATAGTTCCCATGGGCATCAGATGGCACTGTTGTAGCCTTGGAGTCACCTCTATAGAAGGGAGGGCAAACATTCTAACGCCGAAGTTGCGAACATTTTATGTAGTAATAGTAATAATAATAATACTCCTCTGAATTAAAATATAAGCTAAATTTTGTTAGAGGGATTTGATTTTTTTAATAAGATAATATTTACTTTTGTCTAAATATTTAATGAGTTTTTTTTTTTTAATTTTACCCCATATTTTTTCCTCTTTAATCCATTTATATATCTCTCACTATTTTTTTATTAATAATGATGTATTTAAAAAAATACATGTTTTACATATTTATTGTTTTAAACTGATTTTAACTAATTTCTTGATAAATATAAATAGATAAACTTTATCTTATACTTTAAACTGGAAGTAGGAATAAATTGGGCATGTCGTGGAGTTGGTTTGTTAATGAATCATTGAGCTGTTCATGATTTTATTATAAAACTTGCTAATGGAAATGGACATCATGATCAAGCATTCAGATTAACGCGCATATATAGGAATGTCTGAAAATTGACCGCGAAGGAAGAGGGCCGTCTGCCAGCCATAACCAGCCATATCAAGTATGTTTTGATTCTTTTGAACTGGCATCCAGTTGACCAATGACACGCACAAAAAAAAACTACTCCTCCGGTCCTTATTATAAGACCCCAATCCATTTGGTTACTTATATTTATGTATTTTTTTCCAAGATAATCCTTCTAATAATGATAGTTTTAGCCAATATACTTAATTAGCAAGGATATTTTAGGAATGACAACACTTATTTATTATAAATAACCAACTTAACTTACTTCCTTAATCTCCTCAAATAAGTCAATTGGGTCTTATAATTAGGACCGGAGGAGTATTATTTATTAGAATATTAAGTTTTTCAAGAGAATAGTACTTTTTTTTTTTTAATGTGGAACATTTTTTTTCATCAATAAACAAGTTTTTTTCTGTCAATAAATATAGAAAAAAAGTTGACATAATTGTTGGTAGAAAAAATTATAATGCATCGCTTAAAAGAAATATTAATTTTTTTATTATTATAAATGGCCTTAAAATCCACATACTAAAACAGAATAAACCTTATTCGCGAACTTAGCATGAAAATCATCTGGAAGATGCAGGAACTTAATGTGAAATATAAAAAGACAAATCAATGTAAAAAGATGCATGAATTAATATCGATACTATTAATACCATAAATATAGCATAAAAAATTTACAATAAATTGTAGAAGTTGCCTATTAAGGTACCTAATCAAACCCCACACAAGGTCTTACTTAAGGATTTAAGTTTAACTGATTTTTTTTTTTTATGCCAACAAGGATTTAACTGATTATTAATCAAAACAAACGTGTAAGAGAAGATGCGAGAATAAGATAATATGCTAATGGAATTCATAATAGTCTGTTTCACAGAAGTTTGCATATTTTCTTAATGAAATAAAGAAAACAAATTAAAATTTCGGATCCAAATCATGTTTCATTAACTTACATTTTGTCTCCTTTTTTTTTTTTGCGGGTCCATTTTTGCCTTCTATTTTCATAAGGACTATCCAATACAATTCTCCTATATTGCATGAAATATTAAAAATAATTTTATTTATAAATGGAAACTCATAAAAAACTTTATATTTTATATTTAATGACATCGATTCATTGCACCTTTTTCACGGCATGTTAATTACAAGTTATTGGTAGGGATTATTTTTCAATGTCCATTATTACAGGTAGAGTGGAAAATACGCCATTATTCCATTAAAAACTCATCATTACATTTTTTTTCTCACTCGTTATTGGTATTTTTAATATTTAAGAAAATGAAGGTTTATACTTTATTGAGAAATAGGAAAAAATGTGCATAACAATAGGATGTAAAATTGTAAATTACCGGCACGATCATATTCTCCGTGTAATGCAAGCATAATTTTTAGTCCCCCCTTTAAAAAAAGAAAAAGAAAAAGAAAAGCAAAAGTCAAATCCTGTCTCGCTCTCCTGTTGGAACGGGCCAGGTCGGAGGATGCATGATCAAAGAGAAACGTCACGCGCCACTAGTTAGCGTCTGATTGTGACACGTAGTATTGACCTTGGAGGATTCGATCTGAATCCGGTCCTTAAATTCATAATCTTTTTACTGAACAACAGTGGAGTAAACTCCGTACTTATCTTCATTTCATGCTTGTTTTCTTTGTCTTTAATTTGCCCCCCAAATTCAATTAATCATTGACGTTTTGCGTTTTCCGTATCAACCTTCGTCTTCATCGAAGACCAATTGTGTGACGACAAGCCAAATTTCCTTTTTTCGCGGAACTACTTAATGCTATGTATTCTTCTACTAGCACTTTCTGCTAAGTTCATGAATTGAATGATTGAATCGCTTGTTGAAACGTGTTTCGGCATCTTAAAACCGCCTCCGTTTGCCTTCTCGTAGTAACCGGGATTCTTGTGAACCGAAGAGCAGTTTTGAGGCCGACCAGTATGGAGAAAGAGCCTCTGCTCCCATATGCTAGTCCCAGGAAGAAGCCTCCGCCACCACCATCGCTGCTATGCCCTTTACCGGAGCACGATGAGGTCGTTGTTCCTCTTACCCCTTCGGCGATTAAGGACCGACTTATCTTTGGCCCTTCTTCCCCCACAGGTTCGTCCCCCTTGCTCGAGGCCTTAACACTTACCCTTAACTCCCCAAGACCCTCCTCTTCTTCAGAGGACCCTCAAGATACACAACCCCAACAGTCTTGGCTTACTGACCCCAATTATCCTAGTCACAAAACTAATCTTCATCGCTCCAAAACTGCCCCGGCTATGGCGGTAATCAGCGGTGTTAATCACCAGGGCCAAGTTGTTAGACCCCAATTTGGTTCCCAGTCGATTGTTCGCCAAGCTGTTATTCTTCTTATGGTGTATTTGTCATTGGGGGTGGTTATTTATTGGTTCAATCGTCATAATTTTTCAGCAACTGAGACTCATCCTGTTATAGACGGTTTATATTTTTGTATAGTGACAATGTGTACAATAGGCTATGGTGATATTACTCCAAATAGTACAGCAACAAAACTGTTTTCTATATTGTTTGTATTGGTGGGTTTTGGGTTTATTGACATACTGCTCAGTGGTATGGTCAGTTATGTTCTTGATTTGCAAGAGAATCACTTGCTCCAAGCGGTGAAGACTAAGGTTGGACTTGAGAAGGATGCGAGATCATATATAATAGATGTGAAGAAAGGGAGAATGAGGATTAGGTTGAAGGTGTCTTTAGCATTGGGGGTTGTCGTCCTTTGTATTGGAATTGGTTTTGGGGTTATGCATTTTGTGGAAGGGCTCGGGTTGTTGGATTCTTTTTATCTTTCAGTTATGTCCGTGACAACTGTTGGGTATGGGGACCATGCATTCAAGACATTGCCTGGTCGCATCTTTGCTGCAATATGGTTACTTGTATCAACGCTTGCAGTGGCCCGGGCATTCCTGTATTTGGCCGAGGCAAGAGTGGATAAGCGACACAGGAAAATGGCAAACTGGATTCTTGGTCAGGATATGACTGTTTCTGAGTTTCTTGCTGCAGATATAGACAATAATGGCTTTGTGAGGTATGCTCTCTTACATGTTCATCTTTCAGAAACTTTCATTGTTTTAATTAGATATGAGTCATTTTAAGTGCAAGTTGGTCTTTAGAAAGTGAAGTGCAAATGAGTAGTCCTTGATAAGAAATGGAGTTGGTATTCATAGTCCATAGGTTTCTATTATGTTGCTTGTACTTTAAGACATTCAGAACTGTTGATTCTTCTTATTAACAATGGTTCACTTTGTTCTGTTCTCTTTAAAGTAATCTTTTCCTTTTCTAGCTGATACATATAACCATACACCATATGCGCCAAATATCAACATTAAAAATTGACTACCTGCAATGTGCACATAGCTTATACTCACGTTGGATAATTTAAAGATGGTATGAAAGCAAAAAAAAGGAAAAAGTTATAAATTGACTTGAATAGAAACCAAAACCCTTCCTTTCATGTTTTAATTAAATCTTAAACGTCATTAATTAGTTCTCTGAGTACATATATTGAAGTGAGGTGACATGTTGCAATGTATAGTTAATATTCAAGAGGTAGGAGCCGATCGACACCAGTGCTGGGTGAGGTGTGGACATGCTAAATAAGAATTTTAGATCGAGGCATGATGTTGGAAATAGTGGCATCTTTTAAGATTATCATAAGATTTTAATTTCACAGATCTTGTTATTTTTAGAATTCTCTGAAGAGATGGAATCTTCAGAT